TCATTGATATCTGCCTGGTTTATACATAATTAACTCGCTGTATAATGCCCATGATTATATACAATTATATCACTATATCATGCCCGAATTTTATACACAATTAACTTGGTGTATAATACCCCTGGTGTATACACAATAATGTCACTGTATAATGCCCCTGGTTTATATACAATTTTCATATCCCACTTAAAAATATAGATATATGCATAATTGGGTGTATTACCTTCTCTATAAAATTACAAATTATCATATATGAAACTTTTGGATATCCAGATAATACAAAATTTTTGATTATTCTGGTATGTAATATTGTGAATTATCCTGGTATATAACAATGTGGATTATCCTGGTATATTACATTGTGGATTATCCTGGTATATTACATTGTGGATTATCCTGTTATATAACAATGTAGATTATCCTGGTATATTACATTGTGGATTATCCTGGTATATAACAATGTGGATTATCCTGGTATATTACATTGTGGATTATCCTGGTATGTAATATTGTGGATTATCCTGGTATATAACAATGTGGATTATCCTGGTATATTACATTGTGGACTATCCTGGTATGTAATATTGTGGATTATCCTGGTATACAACAATGTGGATTATCCTGGTATATAACTATGTGGATTATCCTGGTATATTACATTGTGGATTATCCTGGTATATTACATTGTGGATTATCCTGGTATACAACAATGTGGATTATCCTGGTATATAACAATATGGATTATCCTGGTATATAACTATGTGGATTTTCATTTGATATAACATTGTGGATTATCCTGGTATATAACAATGTGGATTTCCATTTGATATAACAATGTGGATTATCCTGGTATACAACAATTAGGATTGTCCTGGTATCTAACATCTAAAATGGTGGAAGTATGACCTATTTGTAACATTCAGTGCTATCAAACCATGGATTATCCTTCTATGTGACACCACAGATACATTATGGATTTTGTTCTTTATAAACCATGGATTATTTTCAATATAAAACCACTTAGTCCCCATATTTAAAAAGTATATGGATTATTTTCTCTTAAAAATTGTTTACTCCTATATGAGCAGTAGATATTGCACAAAACAAAAAAAGGCATGCTTTATAAATGTTAACTTACTGACTTTACATGAAATCTCTAACAGTTTGTCATGTTTGATCTGATACATTTTATAGCTTGTAATAAGTATCTCAACTAAGAAAATGAGTCTCCTGACATTCTTATTTCTCTGATAATATTTCAATTTTGTAATACTTATAATGAGAGTGGTATACCCTTAGAATGGATCACTGGGTCCCGGGTTTGAACAAAAGGGACTTTCGAGGGTTGGAAACTCATTTTTTAAATCATTTTAGTTTGGCAAATGAAATCAAAGTGCATTGACACCTTGTTGAGAGTGGTTTTGTCTTCATAGTTAGACACATTGGTGTATATTATTGGTCAATGGTGATAATTAGTCTAATTGATGTATCCTCTTTGATCTCAATAAAGAAAATGACTAGTTCAAGTAGATTATGGAATTTGATGCAGCATTTAATACTTTGTACAGAATCATGAGCATTGCCATTCACAGCCATTTTCTTTTCAACTCAGAAGATTTTCATCATATGATCATGTTAATAACCTTTCTTTTGTTCTGATTGATATGTTTAAAAATTTATTGGTAGCTAGTCCATCACTTAAAAAAAACAAATTTCATTAATTTTATACGCATCATTTTTTTTTTTTTTCACTACAAATGTTCTCATGTTTTAAATAATTGTTCCACTGGTAAATGTATCTAGATAGAATTCCTCGATGTGTGCCATATCATTCTAGTGCTTTGTATGTAAACCAATCTGCAATTTTTGAAAAAAAATGTCTGCAATATGTGTTTGGGTAGTTTGCAACTTTTTATGGACAGGATGCTTTTCTGGCAGTAGTGTCTGTCAAGAGGAGATAATTGTCCTCTGTCTGTCAAGGGGAGAGAACTATTATGACAGAACATTATCTATTGTAGGGAGGGAACTGTTATGACAGAACATTGTCTATATAGGGGAGGGAACTGTTATGACAGAACATTGTCTATTGTGGGGAGGGAACTGTTATGACAGAACATTGTTTATATAGGGGAGGGAACCGTTATGACAGAACATTATCAATTGTAGGGAGGGAACTGTTATGACCGAACATTGTCTATATAGGGGAGGGAACCATTATGACAGAACACTGTCTATTATGGGGAGGGAACCGTTATGACAGAACACTGTCTATTGAGGGGAGGGAACAGTTATGACAGAATACTGTCCATTGTGGGGAGGGAACCGTTATGACAGAACACTGTCTATTGAGGGGAGGGAACAGTTATGACAGAACATTGTCTATATAGGGGAGGGAACCGTTATGACAGAACATTATCTATTGTAGGGAGGTAACTGTTATGACAGAACATTGTCTATATAGGGGAGGGAACCATTATGACAGAACATTATCTATTGTAGGGAGGGAACTGTTATGACAGAACATTGTCTATATAGGGGAGGGAACCATTATGACAGAATATTATCTATTGTAGGGAGGGAACTGTTATGACAGAACACTGTCTATTGAGGGGAGGGAACCATTATGACAGAGCACTGTCCATTGTGGGGAGGGAACCGTTATGACAGAACACTGTCTATTGAGGGGAGGGAACCATTATGACAGACAATTGTCTATTGTGGGGAGGGAACTGTTATGACAAAGTATGTCTATTGAGGGGACTGTTATGACAGAACATTGTCTATTGTGGAGAGGGAACTGTTATGACAGAACAATGTCTATTGTGGGAACTGTTATGACAGAACACTGTCTATTGTGGGAACTGTTATGACAGAACACTGTCTATTGTGGGGAGGGAACCGTTATGACAGAACACTGTCTATTGTGGGGAGGGGACCATTATGTCAGAACACTGTCTATTGTGGGGAGGGGACCATTATGACAGAACACTGTCTATTGTGGGGAGGGGACCATTATGACAGAACATTTTCTATTGTGGGAGGGAACTTTTATAACAGAACATTGTCTATTGTGGGGTGGGAACTGTTATGACAGAACATTGTCTATTGTGGGGAGGGAACTGTTATGACAGAACACTGTTTATTTTGGGGAGCGAACTGTTATGACAGAACATTATCTATTGTGGGAACTGTTATGACAGAGTATGTCTATTGTAGGGAGGGAACTGTCATGACAGAACACTATCTATTGTAGGGAGGGAACTGTTATGACAGAACACTGTCTACTGAGGGAACTGTTATGACAGAACACTGTCTACTGAGGGAACTGTTATGACAGAACACTATCCATTGTAGGGAGGGAACTGTTATGACAGAACACTATCTATTGTAGGGAGGGAACTGTTATGACAGAACACTATCTATTGTAGGGAGGGAACTGTTATGACAGAGTATGTCTTTTGAGGGAAGGGGACTGTTATTACATAACATTATGTTTATTTGGTAGTTTTTTTAAATTATTATCTCAGATCCAATTTTGCAGTACAAAAGAAAATAGTTGAAAATTTAGTCAAGTGTATAGCAAACCAGAGGATTTGATTGGTAGTTATTCAATATTAATGTGCAACTTGATGACTATAATTTATATATATGTAGTATGAGTTCACATTTCTTAAGTTCTTACCAAAATTTCTTCCTGTTTACTGTTCTGGTAAAGGAATTTTAGAAATACTTGATTCTGTAATTAAAAAATGATAAATACATTGAATTCTACCATGGTTCCGTTGTTTACAGGAGGCTGTATGATCTGTATGAGTGCAAACATGACATGAAACCTTCTGGTTCTTGAGTTAAATCTCACTCTAAACTACATCCATTTCATGTCACAAGTACTGACTAATGCCAGCAATTATTAATGTTGGCATGTTGTGTCTCCGATTAAATAGGCCAAAACTTTCTCTTTTGTTTGGCCTACACGTGCGGTTTAATTAACATGTGGGATATTTTGCTTCACTCGATTATATGTGTTTACCGTTCTGTATGACGTTACAGTCTACGCTGTACAACCATAGATTTATATTTTAGCTTGTGTCCAGTGTAAGTTGTCTAGACTGGTAATTTATTGTAGATATTTTATGCATTTTTTATATAATAAACTATATGTCTTTTTTTACATTTATTCTGTGTCCTTGTTTGTTAGAGTTAACTGTAGCTACGTTTGTCATCTCCATATCTGTTGTCAATGCTTTGGCCACCATAACTATATGGTGTTGGTCTAAAATCGGTTGGATATGGTAGAAAAGTGAAATATGGACCACAGGAGACTAGTTATGAAGGCTTAGATGACTAACAGAATTTTGATTGTCAAGACCACACCTGAACCCCATCAATTGTATTTAGGAAACAGAAACCAGTTCAGCTTATTATTTAAAACTTTCAAATACCGTCATGTGCCGAGGGATTCTGCACATATCTTATTTCAAATCCTGTGGTCCGTATGATATGTAGGATAGTCACGAAAATATCTCTTCAGTGCAACCAGTATGATCAGTATATCAACTAAATATCTCAGGATTCTAAGCAGAGTCGTTGGGAAATAATGATCTCATATTTAACATGAAGTCAACTTTATTGTCATGGACAGAACACTTCCTGCGATGTATTATGATAACATCTAAACAGAGATTTCGTCATGTGTTTTATTATGTGAAGATATCACACAATGTGACATACCATATGGTAAACACCTCGACAGAGACCTTGTCATGTGGTTAATTGTGTGTAATAGCACATCATGTGATGTACCACGTGATAAACAACACAACAGTGACCTTGTCATGTGGTTAATTAAGTGAGGAGATCACGGCATACCGGAACAGATCTAAGCACGTGCACAAGACAGTACATCTGTAGTCACCGACATACAAGTTGTTCCTGGAACAGCCAAGGTCATCGTGAAGGCTTTTCTTGTCTCCTTTTTAATTGCGCGAAGATCACCTTTATTACAGCTGGCCTTGGCCAATGGATTTCATTCTGCTCCATGGGGATCGTATACATAATTTGAGGTAAAGTGCTAGACTGATGTGGGACGTACGATACTTTGCTGGAATGTCGTCGTACACTTCTCCACTGACGTCATATATATGACGTAGAAGTACCTAAAGAAGAAAATGAAAGAAACAGCTCTTAGCGGTGCCTGTGAACAGTCGGATCGTTATCCGGTGATTCTGCGCGTGCGGTTTATGACAAATGATAAAATTTTACAAAGTGTCTTATGAAGCAGTCGATTTAAGGAGCGCACTCTCACTGGGCGTGCAGAATCACTGTTCAGCATTACGCATGGTAATAGCTGACTGAAAAACTAAGGCAAATACTACTTATTCGATGAGACGTCGTTTGATTCTGACCAATATACCAATAACAATAAAGAAATATAGCACCGTATTTATAATAAATGATTTGTTATATGCATTAATCATGTGATTTAGAGGATACTAAACATTTTTCATAGATAACATTGATTCTAATACCGTTCAAGTGTAAAATGCAAACAGTCAGTTGGTTGCTCTCTGACGTTTAAAACATATCAAGCATATTGTTAACATACCCTCATAGCTTTTCTGTCAGGTATGATCGGTATTCTGTCAACTTTAGATCCTCGAATTAACCCTACTCGCCTTGCTAAATCGACATCTTCATCTTCTAAAAGATACAGTTCATTAGGTTTGCATTCTTTTACAGTTTCAAATGGTGAATGTCCTATTTCATCGAAAATATCAGAGACCGTCGCGTCTTCAGTATTGTGTTCAGAATCATCTGTTATCGAAATTTCATTTTCTATTGGTATTTGTTCATCCGGAATTAGTATCATATCGGCCTCCTTAACAGTATCGTCAGCTGATACGATTTTCTCTTCGTGTAGACTTCTCTTAACGCGTAACGGAAGTAGTACTCCACTGGCACTTTCGTCAACGTCCATTTTCAACTGTAAACCGTCTGTACGCGAAATAATTACACAACTAATTGATGACGTTTACTGACAATTTAATGACGTCATAATGTACGTTTTAATTGTGACGTCACTATCTGGCGTCATTATTCCTAGAACAATCAAACCGTTGATTGTCGTTCCATGACGCATGCAACATAGCTTATTGTGCATTGTTAGCGGAACTAAAATGACAGAACAGATGACAAAGAGGACCATTGGAAGCGTGGACCGTGATGTGTCATACCATGAGGATATGTTTCGTTCGAAAAAACTGAAAGTGAACTCAGATGAAGGCACTGAACAGACTGCTAAGCAACAACACAATGAGGACCGAAACAACAGCAACTGTCCTGTGAAAGTAAAGGTAAATGTTTCTGAATGCAACAAACATCCAAAAGTTACTGGTACTGATCCGACTCCATATAGAATTGTTGTTAGCGAGAATCACAAGGACAGAAATTTTGACGATGAGGCACAAAAAGCATCAACCATACTAAAAAATATAGTGATGGAAAAGATGAATGATAGAATATCTGATTCACAAGAACATTCAACATCAGCTTTTCAAGGAGTTCAGCAACATAATTATCAACCCATGGTACCGTTGACATGCAAAATTCCATTCTCACGCCCAATAGCACCAATACGCTATCTTCCTGTCCAGAGCAACGTTTATCCACAATTCGTGAGACACAACGCTACTACGGTCGGAAATCTGGCATCACTACCTGCTCAGGTTGGTATGCCAAGAATGGTTCAACAGCCGGGAAAAACGATGGTCCAGCCAATTCCACCGGTGTCTTCAGTTACGAGAACTTTGCTACCGACATGCGGGGCATTGCCAACAGTTATTCCAACGTCAACTGGAACAGCCACCCAATCAACAGGAACCATGACGTCGATAAATGATCCTAGTTTGCCAAGTAATGAATACTTCAGCAATATTACTAGCCCGGCGATTAAAACTACTGTTCAGGTTATGCCTGGTAAGTACAAACATGACATTGATGATATGTATATCTCATACATTACTGTAAACACATATTACTTTAAGCATTCATTGGAAAGTGAACGCAAGATATCGAAAATGTATGGTCAGTGTCTTAAATATAAGCTGTGTTTTGGCGAGAGTAAAGAAAGACAGAAGTGGTGAGCCTCTGGCAAGCGACTTTTGTCTTTCTGTCTCGAGCTTGGTGGAGTACATGTCACAAGTCACGTGTACAGTAACTGTTGTAAAGCTTGATTTAAGAATTTGTATGTGTAGCTTTACCAGCATCGGAAATAAGACACATAGTGGACTCACGATTTTGGTTTTAAATTTAGAAACTATGATAATAATATCTGAAATCGAAAACGTTCTTAAGGATAAACTTTTTTGAGAAGTAAAAAAAAAAAAGTAAATAAGTTATCATTTTTTCTGGTGATAATTTTTGGAAAGGTTGGATTTGAAAAGAAAAGTAGAAGCAAAAGCATTATATTGTTGCACTACGTTTTTGATACAGGCGTCAGAAAATGTGAAACAGTAAAAAATAAACGTTCACATATTGAGATAAAGGTGAAGGGGTGGGATGGGGATAACGGAACCTGGTTCGTCAAACCGGGGTGGGTGGGGATAACGGAACCTGGTATCACTTACGGGGGCGTGTGGTGATAACGGAACCTGGTATCACTTACCGGGGCGGGTAGTGATAGCGGAACCTGGTATCACATACAGGTGCTGGCTGGGATAATGGGACCTGGTATCACATACCGGGGTGGGTGGGGATAACGGAACATGGTTCGTCATACCGGGGCGGGTGGGGATAGCGGAACGTTGTATCACATACGGGTGCTGGTGGGGATAGGTGTCAGTTTTACCCCCATGGCGGTAGGAGAAAGGGGTACCTGGTACCACAAACTGGGATACCGGGATACTGGAGGATTTATGACCTTAGTTTCCTACTACTTCCAATGCTTTGCCAAGTGTTTGAAATGTCAGAACCAGCAGCAGTATATCTAAAACTGTCCATGATTAAACACATCGTATGAATGAAATGCTATGTTTTCCACAATACCAGGCACATCAATGATGTACAAAACCCCAGGCGCAACTTTCAGAAACCGACATGGCAAAGTCAAACGCCCGATGAACGCGTTCATGGTTTGGGCGCGGAACTACCGGAGTCGTCTCTCTGAGGAAATGCCACAAGCTTCTAATGCACAAATCAGCGTGCGACTCGGAGAGATATGGGGAAGTATGTCGCTTGCCGAGAAGGAAAAGTTCTTCAGGGAAGCGGAACGCATCAAGCTGCAACACAACCGAGATTTTCCAGGTAAATAGCTTATTTATCCTTATATATGTCAAAGACTCGGATGGTTTAAAGTTCAAAGGTCTCATACCCACCAGACATTCTGAGACTTTGTTCCGAAAACTAGATAGTGTAACATTGAAGACAATGCTGCATTTTTTGGAACATTTTCTTCAGGTTGGTAATGTCGATAGAATCGAAGTTCTTATAACACAACCAGAAGCAGATTATAGTTTGATGTTTCGATGATTACACGGTCACCTTCATCAGACAAATGACCAGTGTGGAGCGTACTAGCACTGATGTACGTTGTGTACGAGATGGTACAGAATCGACAAACTTTTTAGGTTGCACTATAATCCAATGTACACCGAGGTTGAAAATAGTGTGACGAGATGGTTAACAGATTATAGACCAAACAAATACACAAGATGGTAACAATGTACTGTAGTCAATTCGACTACCCTTTGTTTAACACTTGGTCAGAGTTGTGCGAGTCTTATTAAACAAATCCTCAATTTTTTATAGTTTTCATTGATTCAAAATTAAGGATACACATGTATACATACGTATAAAATTAAATCTTTTCCTGATGTACAAAATTGCTATGGGTTAGGAAACCTGAATATTGTTTCTCTCTTTGAGTCGAAGTGACTGAACATCTAGGAACAAGATGGCGTTTATATATATTAATTATGCTATATCATAGGCAAGTTGTCTTTTAAAGATATATGTAGCGTTTTGAAATGCTCAGTAAAACACTATTTATTTTTAATTTCCATACTCCAGGTTGGGTATACCAACCCAAACAGAAGAAAGTCCAAATTGAGACCCAGCATGACCGCCTTTGGGCGAGATTTGGATCAAACTCATGCAAGGAACATCCGACAGAAATGGCAACCAATCCTCCACATGAAGTAGCAACTCATCAAATTGTCACCCCTACTCCAGTGACCGTGTACCCAAAAACTTCCATTGTCAACACATCCAATGTATGCGTGACGTCTCCACTTCCTTCCTTTTCCCAGCTGACACAGACAGTTACTGGTCCCAAACCAATATTATCCATGGAGACAGAAGGACATCAGACGTCGGGGACTAGAGGCAGGGAGTCATTTGACAAAGAATCGATCGGGAGGCCAACAGCCTTCAAGTCAGTGAGCAGCAGTCAAACACCGGTCGTTACTAGACAAGTTCTATCCAAGAAGGAACATGGCCCAACACTTCAGTTAACATCATCTGCAGTATGCCAATCTCCACTGAAGATGACAGCTTCTTCTTTGACAACTAGAGGAAGTCCTGCTAGCGGGAATGTTAGGTCACTGTCCAGTGCAGTGACGGGATGTCCCTCCCCTAAAGGTCGACCGCCAAGTATTTCCCGTAGAATTCCTCGTAAGTCATATGAATATGATATATAAACCTATGGTAAGGACGTAAAAGAGCTTTGGAGATAGGATTGATAAAACCTGCTAAAACAATATCTGAAATCTAGTATGATTCTTTGTCATGTGCTTAGTTGCAAAAAATCTTATTCTTTGCTTGAAATATTTCTGTCTACGTCGCACAGAAATAAGATTTTACCATCGAACATGTTCAGATGGATTGATATTCGTCTCCAGATCAGTGACTGATTTGTTTTACGAGTGTAATAAACGTAAATAGATTAGTCATGTCGATACACATATAGCTCACAACATTAGTTACCGAAAATTGACATTTAAAAGTATATATATACAAACTTTCCTCGTACCGCAAAAGTCACATTGTATCAGTATTAAATGATAGTTAATATTATATCGATGGTACTCAATTTAGTTTCAAATAGTAAAATTAATCTTATATCAAATGGTAGCCAAGTTTACCTAATATAAATAGAGTGTGTTTATGAAAAACTATGCATGCGGTTGCAACAAAATTTTGAAGTGGGACATTAAAACTGCACAATGTAAGGCACGTGCTAATTGCATGCACATTTAGTGAAACACTTATGTAGGCCAAAGGTCACGGTCAAAACAATCGGTACCACCAGAAAGGTCTTGTGACAAGGAACACACTTGCCAAATATGAAAGCCACACCTCTGATGTTGCAATAGTTATGGTCAATGTTTAACTTTTTTTCAAATGTAGGTCAAAGGCCACGATCAAGTTCATATGGTGAAAACTTATGGTACTATCAGAAAAGTTTTGTCACAAGGAACACACATGCCAAAAAGGAAAGCCCTACCTCTTACGGTGAAATATGTTTGGAGAAGGTTAAAGTTGACTACAGACAAACAAATAGACAAACAGACAACATAAAATCAATATTCACCGATCTATCCTCTTCCTGATTTTAACCACAGCTAAGTTTTTTTTTGCAATATAACTGTATGAACACACTGAATTATCTGTTTTTTTAGATGCACCAGAGATGCTGATTTCCACACAACGGTCCTACAGGGAAGCGATCTTCACCAAGAGCAATTCCATTAGTCCACCCAAAACCAAGTCTGTTTCCTCTGGGTAAGCCATAGTGAACTATTCCGAAATACTCTCGTTAAAAAAATACCACTCAGGTTCCCAATCATTTTGATAAGAAAACATAAGTTCTGCGATACTTTGTTTTCATTTTCAATTTAAGATTTATTATATAAAGCTGTTTACAGACCCATTTTGAGTACTTCCACTTCGGACACGATGCTACAGAAAGCAAACGTCACGCCTCTGACAACGACCAGCGACGTCAGAGTGACGGGATCACATAGGGGTAGCGCGGATCCCGTTGACGAGTTGTGGCCGTTCCCTCTCCCCTCAGTAGAACAGACGCATCACGTGGATGTGCTATATGATGGTAAGACGTTAACCACTATAACGATCAGTGGCGTAGCAATGTTTTAAGAGTGTATGCTTTCATGAGAGAGTCCAGGAGCCAAGCCCCTGTGGAAGAAAGAATATCAAGGTCAATATTTTCCGTATGTTTCCTGCTTCTATAGCATTTGATAAAAGTTCATAAACAACTATATGAAACTTTGCCATCTTGAAGCAAATCCCATATTCGTGAGAAAGTGTTTTTAGACAATATTCATCCTATGGTTGAATGGCATCAAATCAGGCCATAGTCAGCGGTCAGAGTCTAAACAAAGTACCACATCTTTGAAGCAGCTTCTTAATGTCAAGCACACCTCTATTTGTGATGACTGATGTGGTCTATTTTTAGATCATCTCCGTTATGAGCGCGACAGTGGCACGGGATTCATTGATCCCTACAACCCGTTTTATTACGACGGCAGTTATGACGAAACAAGGTCAGGGTTACAGGTCGACGTAAACAGGTGAGTCACGTGTTTACCCGAATATTATTGGTCGTTTGCTTATGCTATTGATTATTGTATTGGTTTTGAAACGGTGTCATTATTTAGTGACATTGTGATGGTGAATTACATGTCAATATTATACTTTTAAAACTGTGTTATTTTTAAATCGAAGGGACTGAAGTGGTTATCTCGTGTATTTTTAACGATAGTACCTATATATAGGCCTATTTGTCAAGGGTCGTAGGTCATATCTGTTTTTAGATAAGACTGACCATGGGTCAGTGAGCATCCACGCATTTCTCTCCCGTACAAGTCGTAGTAGAGATAGGACGTTCTCGAATAGTTTCCTGGAATTTTCTGATTCGATGTGTGGTAGTGGCGCGTAATCTCACGTACGGGAAGTCTTCCCAAGACCCTCTTCATTTGTGAAGAGATTTTTTTTCATAAACGTATTAAGAGAGCATGTGGCGTTAGCGTTTTGTTTCATCACTTGTTATTGAAATTTATTAATATCTGCCTTGTTTAGCCAAAGTATCAGCATTCATTTAATGTGTAAACAGCTAGTAGCATCAACATTTGTACAGTGAATGGGTTCAGTGTCACAACCATTTAGATAAGTTTACTCCAAGACGTCCACTTCTAGAACAATGTCACAACCATTTAAATATGTTTACTCACAGAATAGTGTTTCAAAGCTATTGTAAACATATCACAGAAAAAAATTAGCAATTATTTTATAATACGTTCCTCCTCCTTCTCAGCATAATGTCATTATCATCGTTCTCGCTTTCTTCACAATGCTTGTTGAAATTTTCAAAATGTCTGTTTGGAAATTTAACGAGTTTCCATGTAATCTGGGACTAATAGATAAGTTCTGTGCATTTTCCATGTAGACTTACAAGATATTTTTTTCTCAGTTGGCAGAAATATTTGAACTACACAAAGATGCAAAGCGAATCGGAGGACAAGACAAATCTGACCAAGTACTTTCCTACGCCGCCACCGCTTAGCAATAGCAGCAGCAGCTGGTGTGACCAGATTCCCACTATTACTGACCATAGTGTCCAGCAAGAAGTCACTCGTCCTAAACAGACTGGAAATGGATCGGACCACGAACCACGCCGCACATCCTCCGAATCTTGTTTTGCGTCTTCTCTGACTAGTGCTATAAACGTACTTGATGACGTCAGTAATAGCACCGTCGACTACGCCGACGGAAATCACCGTGGTTACCAGCAGAGCAACACATCACAGCCATCAGCAGACGTCGCAGATCTGCAGTATCAAAACAATACTCTTCAAGCTTTAGATCTCAGTTCGGGTACTCGAGCACAAACAAGTGCGTCAAATATTGTTTACCTAGGACAGGAAACCGCTCATATAGGGTCTGGCGATGGTGTCGGATCTATTCCTATGGAGGCGGGAAGTCCACCAGGTAAATCTGAAGATTCGAGACCATTGAAGAAGAGAATAGAGCGATACAGGAAGGAATTCATCAACGGAAGGCCTTATGTCACAGCAGGTGATGTTCCGACGGGAACTTATCTCGAAGATGTGGTGTTCCTTACATCCCCAGAGAAGGCAGCAGAAGAAGAGGTTTTGTCTGGTAACTTGTCAAGGCATGCAAATGGGTATACCTCCACCGATCCAACTAGAGACCCTATCACCTCTCAAGGGATCGTAATAGATGTAGCACATGACTTTGTCAAATCGCTTAAATCGGGCGCAGTTATCACCGATCTTACTCCCGTAAATATGACAAACGTGAAGTCAATCCATATTGATGCCAAAGCTGTTGAACGTGCAACAAACCAGAACCGAGACAACAGTACAGAAAGAATGAGAGATACCGAAAAAGGTTTAGAAGTTGTGAATTACACTGAACCTTGTAAAGTCAATATAAAGGAAGAAGTGTTGGGTGATCACTAAATTTGCTCAGTGACGGTTTATTCAGAAGTGTTAGACATTTATTGACACCGTTTCCGTGCTAGTAACATGCATGGATCTTTGTGTCATTTTACATAACTTGTAACTTTACCGTTGTAACCTTATGACGTCACCTGTCATTAGATTGTTTCAATATTACACCCGTTTCTGGAATTCACATTTCTTTGTTTTCATTCTATGTTTCAATAAATGTTTCGAGTGCCACAGTCCCTTACCTGTAATCGAACAATCAACTTAAAAACAATTTACCGCGTTTTTTTTCCTCCGGTTGCCTCTGAGAAGCTAAAAGTCAAGTGATCTCCCTCACAAACATTATGTTAAAGTTTCTCAGTGCTCACTTGAGTTCGCCATCCAATGAAATTAAATTGAGAATACTCATCTTAATAATACCGGCGACGTTTTCAGATTAATTGTGCACGTCAAGGTACGTAGACACGTAGTCATCAAATCACCCGTTCATATCTGTATTTTCACGTTGATATCTGTATTTTCACGTTGATATCTGTATTTTCAAGTTAATATCTGTATTTTCACATTGATATCTGTATTTTCAAGTTGATATCTGTATTTTCACGTTGATATCTGTATTTTCAAGTTAATATCTTTATTTTCACGGTGATATATGTATTTTCACTTTGATATCTCTATTTTGATTTTGTAAGACCTAGAAAGCTATTAAGTAATGTTTCCCATCATCGCTCCTTTCGATTGGCGAACAAGAAACGTAATTCTTCCAAGTTTGTATGGAAACTTCGTATGGAAGAATTTGTGAATGAACTGAGCCAGTGAAAACTATTTCGTTCTACTGAAATTGATGAACTAAAGTTCGAGAAGGACGGAGTAAAGGCTGCACTGGCTATTATCGTATGTGTTTTTGTTCCAAGTTTTCAGGTTAGAGGTGGTAGATATAACTAGTAGACTTAAGTCTCAGAAGCTTTGCCAAAGCCTGATGCTTGCCATGTTTTAATTAATTAGAATGATGACACGGTTCAGAATATACATACGTACATCATGTTCTTTCCAACTTTTTAAAAATAATTAAATATTTAAAAAGGATTAAATCCATTGAATTTTGAGGCTAGTGCAACTCCTCATCTACATTTTAATATTTCTTGTGACCTTTCGACCCTGACTCGCCTGTTAAGTTTCAAAGCTTTGGGTCCCTAGCATCACCGCCGAGATCTAAAAGGACGAATCAGCTTTATTATGCAGTTTAATTGTGATCATTGTTTAGTACTACTGTATCTAGTTCTGTGCATAAAGGTTCTATGATATCATTTTACAATCATTTGTCAACGAGAAAAGACGCTATTTATCATCCGTGGTCACATATAATCTAGACATGACAGCTTGAACGGTAACATTGCTTGCTAACTGTTAATTAGGGTCAAAGAAATATATTTGTTTCTCAAGATAACGGAGTTTCCTCTTCAGTCATGACTGTGTCCTTAGACCAAATATTTCACTGAAATTGCTCTGGATAGCACACGACACGACGCTGCATGATGTTCAATTAAATAACCACCTAGTTTCAGGATACAGATTACACCATGTAAGTTTTTTGACGGTTAATCGCTGAGACAAACTAATATTTCTGATGTGATCATTTGTTGGCCTTTCCATATCCTTCCCATTTGTTATACGTTTCGGGTAGGATAGCGTGTCTTTGACACGCCGCTTAACGAAACACTAATGCCATTTATTACTCGCCTGCTACTCATCGACCGGTCCAAAAGTCAAGACACCACTACGACTTTGTTTTAGGAGTCGCACTTTAAATTAGGCGAGTGTAAAAAAGTACCAGTCGTACCTTGCGAGCATCGCCTCAGTCGCCAAACTTCCACATTCCTCTCTGGAGATGGCTTACCGAATTGCAATTTCAAGCAACGAGTCTGTTAAAATCGCCCTATATCTGTTATCCGTCTTTTAAATAATTCTTATCATCGCTAGTTGACAGTGGGGCTGATCATAACAACAAAATGGCTGACAGGGGGCCATGTTTGATTTTGACAATGAAAATTAGTTATCGCTATTCTCTATTACCATTAGCGACCTATAATCACTATTTCTTGACAGTAACTGGATGTTTTTTCTCGACTCATAAACAATGTCTAGAATTCTCTATATCTTGTACTGCTTTTAATTTCAATCTTCACAACCCTTCTTCTGTAGGAATGCATGCATGGATCATGGATTATGTCTTCATTTAGTCTGAAGCATCCTTGGCTTAAGAGGAATCAAATTTGTATAAATGGCGTGGCTCCCATAGGGGAAATAGAGGATTTTTTTTAAAAATCTGTAAAAATGCCTGCATTCTGTCCTAATTTGGTCAGATGCCTGATTTGGTAAAGAGAATCAATCTGTCCCCTGAGGCTGGAAGGGCAGGGCCCCATAGAACAAATACTTTAATAACATATCCTTCTTCAGCAGGAATTCTGTCCCAATTTGGTCTGAAACATTAGGTAAAGCGAACTCAATATTGCATAAATTGTGGCTCACGGCATTTTGCCAAACCTTGGCCAGAGTCCAATAGAGGAAATAGAGGAATTTCTTTTAAATCCCTCTATAGAAAAGCTTGGCTTCTGTCCCAATTTTGTCTGAAGCATCCATTGGTGAAAGGGAATCAACTGTTTGTAAATTGTAGGACTTGGCCGTTTGGGGCGGGGTCCACCAGGAAAATCTTTCTAATGTTTATGTAGTCCTTCCTCTGCTGGAAGAATATCAGGATTTAATTCCAATTTGATCTAAAGTACTCTTGGGTGAAGAAGATTTTAAAGAAAATAATTTGGCTGTCCCTCCGGGAAACAGACGGTACAGCCCAAGGGGGAAAGATATTAATCTTTAGAATTTCTTTTCCGTGAGCAACCTCAGATCAGTGGTAAAGGCCCTTGCCAATTGGCCAATCAAGACCTCTTGTAATTTCGAGACTAATCAGAAAAAGCAAAATGGCTGGAAAACACAATCATCAAGGATTCTGAAAGAGTTAAATTGTAATCACTATCTCTTAAGAACTTCTCAAATCTCAAATTCATTCATCGTTCAACTTTGTCCCTATCATAGTTGTACTTTATCAGAAAATAGCATGGAAACAAAATGGTTGACAGGCGACCATTGTTGCTATTTATTCAGAGGTTCTGTAAAATTTCTTACAATTAAAAGCAAATTTAAGAAACGTAGAGAAAAGATGCAACTTTTTAAGAGTATGTAATGATCATGGTGAGTACCAAGATCCCTCTGTGATCTCAGCTCTCGCTCGGTATGCTATTGATGAGATGCAAAAAGATAAAAACAATGTACATTAGTTGAAAATTCTTCAAGATTTCATTCTAACAAGTAATATGAACAGAGATCATCAACAGGGAAAATCATTCTTAAATGAAAACAAAGCATTAAAGATTTACTGTATTACTGGTTTAATAGCACAATTATTTGACCACCAATCATATCATTTGAGAATATAGGTGTAGAATACAACATACCACAAACAATTATTCCTGACACTGCAGTCCTTAAAAACAAGTCATCAGTTGCACTATACTTTCACAAGTGGATGTGACACAGTACAATCTTTCAGTGGCCATATAATGATACAATTCTGTTTTCTTGTAAAAGTGTCTGCAGTTAACTGATCAAGAATCAAATGCCAGGAAATATCAAAGCATTTTAAATACATTGCTGTATCATTATCAATATTCATCATAATTAATACCAAGAGATCATATCATAAACCTTAGATAAAGATTGTTATCTAGAAGTCACGTCAACTCATCACAACACAACTGGTAATCACAGACGAGTCATATTAAGCAAAGTTATCTCTCCAAAAAAAGAATGTAGAAGTAAAATATGGTTCATTAACTGAAGAAATACTGACTTGGTAGTCAAGTACGGTAGTAGTATAACCAGGTTTTACTGTAAAAAGACAGACTTAGTAGTGAAGTACGGTGGTAGTAAAACCAGGTTTTATGGTAGAAATACTGACTCAGTAGTGAAGTACGGTGGTAGTATAACCAGGTTTTATGGTAGAAATACTGACTTAGTAGTGAAGTACGGTGGTAGTATAACCAGGTTTTATGGTAGAAATACAGACTCAGTAGTGAAGTACGGTGGTAGTATAACCAGGTTTTATGGTAGAAATACTGACTCAGTAGTGAAGTACGGTGGTAGTATAACCAGGTTTTATGGTAGAAATACTGACTCAGTAGTGAAGTACGGTGGTAGTGCCCTATTTCTGATATCTGGAAAGTAGGATTGCGTAGTGTATCATTCTACTGCATGTAAACACTTCTGAAATGCAGGATCTGAACCCAGTTAACACACCCAGGAGTATACATGTGTTTGTATGTCTGACTAAAATTTGATGTAAAAAGAATAATTCTCATACATGAAACAGAAAAATTTATCACATTTTGCACTCAATGTGAAATCAAACTAAAAAACTTGTAAACAAAAGCAACTCCTTGTTGCAAGAATGCGAGCAAACATCAGCTTTGAAATATTTCTGATGTTTATAACAACTTCTTTGGTTTTCAGGAACTGTTCAGAAAGATACAATAATGTCAGTATCCTATTATACTTCCTTATGGAAAAATTTCCCTGGTTGGTAGCATCTTGCCATGGCTTCTTCTGGAATAAGCATGGCTAGTCCTGTGGGGGCAGCTGTGTCCAGTCAATAGGAGTCTTGCCTTTACCCTTCAGGTATGTGTTACATTTGGAAAAGTGTTTGCAGCCCATGAAGCCTCGGTGAGCAGAAAGAGGTGATGGGTGGACACCCTTCAGAACACAGTGCTTTTTCTGAAATGACAAGAAGTGGTGATATCTTTGAGGTTTAATATCGAGGTACAAAATATTTCAACTTTGAGGTACAAATTATTTGAACTTTGGGGCATGAAACATTTAAACTTTGAGGTTCAAATTATTTTACCTCAAGGTACAAATCAATTTAAATCTGAGGTACAAATTATTTCAATTCTGATGTACAAATCTTTTAACTTTGATGCTCAAATCACTTCAACTTTGGGGTATGAATAATTCTAATGTGCCCAGGTACATACTATTTCAACAAATCATTTTCATTTTGAGCTAAACAAATTTTTTCTTTGAGGTATAAATAATTTTAAACCATTAAATCTGCCTGATGTACATGTAGACAGATTAGAAACACACAGATACAAGTCTGAGGTTGTGAAGGTAGACTTATTTAATATTTTGCAAATATCTTTCCCCTGAGTTTTCAATATATAAATTTCAACCGCACACACATACATTTTTATAGATGTTCACAAATATATTTTATAGATTTACACTTACATTTTTATAGATGTTCACAAATATATTTTATAGATTTACACTTACATTTTTATAGATGTTCACAAATACATTTTTATAGATGTTCACACATACATTTTTATAGATGTCACACATACATTTTTATAGGTGTTCACATATACATTTTTATAGATGTTCACATATACATTTTATAGATGTTCACATATACATTTTTATAGATGTTCACACATACATTTTTATAGATGTTCACACATACATTTTATTGATGTTCACACATACATTTTATAGATGTTCACATATACATTTTATAGATGTTCACATATACATTTTTATAGATGTTCACACATACATTTTTATAGATGTTCACACATACATTTTATAGATGTTCACATATACATTTTATAGATGTTCACACATACATTTTTATAGATGTCACACATACATTTTTATAGATGTTCACATATACATTTCATAGGTGTTCAAATATACATTTTTATAGGTGTTCATATATACATTTTATAGATGTTCACACATACATTTTTATAGGTGTTCACATATACATTTTTATAGGTGTTCACACATACATTTTTATAGATGTTCACATATACATTTTTATAGGTGTTCACACATACATTTTATAGGTGTTCACACATACATTTTCATAGGTGTTCACATATACATTTTTATAGGTGTTCGCACATACATTTTATAGGTGTTCACATATACATTTTATAGATGTTCACATATACATTTTTATAGGTGTTCACACATACATTTTATAGGTGTTCACACATACATTTTTATAGGTGTTCACACATACATTTTTATAGGTGTTCACACATACATTTTATAAGTGTTCACATATACATTTTTATAGGTGTTCACACATACATTTTTATAGATGTTCACATATACATTTTATAGATGTTCACATATACATTTTTATAGGTGTTCACACATACATTTTATAGGTGTTCACACATACATTTTTATAGGTGTTCACATATACATTTTTATAGGTGTTCACATATACATTTTATAGATGTTCACATATACATTTTTATAGGTGTTCACACATACATTTTATAGGTGTTCACACATACATTTTTATAGGTGTTCACATATACATTTTTATAGGTGTTCACACATACATTTTATAGGTGTTCACATATACATTTTTATAGATGTTCACACATACATTTTATAGGTGTTCACATATACATTTTATAGATGTTCACATATACATTTATAGGTGTTCACACATACATTTTATAGGTGTTCACACAAACATTTTATAGGTGTTCACACATACATTTTATAGGTGTTCACACATACATTTTTATAGATGTTCACATATACATTTTTATAGGTGTTCACATATACATTTTTATAGGTGTTCACACATACATTTTATAGGTGTTCACACATACATTTTTTAAGGTGTACACATACTTTTTTATAGGTGTCAAGCTTTGAAAATGAACTCTACAAATATTAAATCTACAATTCTTCAGAACGTTCAATTCATGAGGACAGCCCAAATTTCAGGGAGAATAAAAAGATATGATAAAGTAACAAAAGTTTTTAGACAACTGAAAATATTCACTATTTGAATGACATCCCTTGGCACAAGATTAAAATGATGAGGCATTTTCAATCCCCCTCTATAAATATGAAAAAAAAAAAGAAAACAAATAAAAAATAAATAAATAAAAATTGTCTAAGCTCCCCTAAACCCGTAACAGCTGAAACTATCTAGAATAAAAACGATGAAACAATTGACACGTAGATCCGGATTTAATTGTCCCAGCTTATGAAAGTCATAACTAGTTGTACACCACCAGGAGACCAGATCAATTCCACATACTACACGGGTATGGCCTTGTTTACCTAGGTATATACATGTATGTTTACTATGTGAAGTAGAATTCTGGTTACGGTAGATGAACATACCTAGGGCTTACTCACTTTAACTGTAAACTATGTACACAAACTGAAAGTGAGCCTGAATGTATGCAGTTAGTCTGCTATAAGGCTTGGAAATCTACCGGACTGGTATATTTCCCTTCCCAAGCAACTTACAGGTACATATATTATCAGTATTTTATCATTATTTTGCAATGTTTCCATCAGACTGGCACAATCTAAGTACAACTAAATGCCATTGCATATCAGTATTTATAAGGACAAATTGATGTCTAGAGTATATACTATCTGTGTAGTTTGTACAGGTTTCAGTAACATGTATGTAGGTCATGTTATTGGTTATTGTTATTGGTGTATGCTGACACCAATTGTCGGTGGTGGAGCTCCGACTTTAAGTACACATAAATGTAGGTATGAGGCATTTGGGAAGACCTGTAGAAACTGTCAAGGTCTGTTAAAATCCCCAGGACTGTATCAGTGTTAAATAAAATCCCCAGGACTGTATCAGTGTTAAACAAAATCTGCTTTTACTACTTTCGTAGACCAGTAGAAACTCTCAGGGTCTGTTAAAATCCCCAGGACTGTATCAGTGTTAAACAAAATCTGCTTTTACTACTTTCGTAGACCAGTAGAAACTCTCAGGGTCTGTTAAAATCCCCAGGACTGTATCAGTGTTAAACAAAATCTGCTTTTACTACTTTCGTAGACCAGTAGAAACACTCAGCGTCAGTGTTAAACAAAATCCTCAGGACTGTATCAGTGTTAAACAAAATCCTCAGGACTGTATCAGTGTTAAACAAAATCTGCTTTTACTACTTTCGTAGACCAGTAGAAACTCTCAGGGTCAGTTAAAATCCTCAGGACTGTATCAGTGTTAAACAAAATCTGCTTTTACTACTTTCGTAGACCAGTAGAAACTCTCAGGGTCTGTTAAAATCCTCAGGACTTTATCAGTGTTAAACAAAAAAGGCTTTTACTACTTCAGTAGACCCAAAGGAATGCTTAAGGTCTGTTAAAATCCTCAGGAGTGTATCACTACTATACAAAGATAGACTTTCTGAATTACAAAATGTATCAAATATATATCAAAACTTGATATTCTCAGCTTTGTTTGGATAGGGGCTCAAGACTGACCATTGCAAATAGACTTTTTTTTATAATGTAGTCCCTTCCTTTAGCATCCAGGGGTTGGAGGTTGGGGTTTGGAGGGTAAATAAACTGTTTTAGACAATTTCTAAATAAATGAGAAGCAATACGGATGTTTTGTATTCAGCAACCCCATATGTCTTCCCTCTGAATATGAGCCATTTGCTGTGGCTAGGTTTTGATCCTCACTGTAAGCTGGTAATGACCCAACAGCACCATCATAAAAGTTTTTGAGGTACAAAATAATTTACTTAGAACATGCAATGTAGGATGTTGGGCAATGGCATTCACAACAGATATGAGTGACACACCTGACCATCAGATTACTAGATAATTGTCCATGAAAACATGCAACCTGATAAAGGTTACTTATAGAGAAACCTGTGACATAGTCTGAACTATTGTTTACATCCTAATCCTGTTTTGTTACAGACCTGACTAAGGCCATGGCATGTTCCTGTAGGGAGCTCTCCATACTGCTATCAACGTACCTGGACAGGAGAGTGATCGGAACACAGAGGAATATCAACAATAGGAGAAAGGTCATGGCTATTGAAGAAACAATACATAATAAAGGCCAAAACATCAGCACATTTCTGTGTGGGGACGCATCTGATGGCACCAATGTACCAGGCTTGAATAGTGATATCTTGATTGTTTACAATGATGTGATGGTTTTGTCTCCTGAACACAACGTTCCTCCGACAGATAAAACGACACTCACCATAAACGAAGATGACAGTCGACCTGGGTACGTAGCTCTACAACTAACACAAACAGGAAAGATGTGTAGTACAGTGCTACAAAACTCATTTGTTCATGTTGGGAACGCTGTATTTGTGTCAAGCGACATCTTTCAGGAACAAACCACCATCCATCACAGTGACATGGGTTTGCCAGGTAAATCAAATGTACCAAGAAGTACCCAGATTAAAACAGACTACCTGCACAGCTTTCAATGTAACAGTTGGCCTAAGAGGGCAAAAGAATGGGAAAGGCGTATACGTCTGTCTGGATGGCCATCACAAACTTTGATTGACAGAATTGTTCAAAAAGGTTGTCATCTTGTCCCGATAAGGGAAAGATTTTTTATGGATAAAACGTCGCAATGGAAGATATCATTTGCATCTGCAGAAAGATTTTTAATTCATTCCTTCAGCAATGTTCAGTTGAAAGTTTATTGTTTAATGAAATATTTTTTTGAAGAAATTAGAGATACCCTGACAAAAATAACTGGAGAAGACAGTATCCTACCATCTGATTCCTTAAAAACAGTCATGTTTTTTGCATTAGAAAATGCTCATCAAAATGTGTGGCAAGAACAAAATCTATTTTACTGTTTCTGGTTTTGCTTTAATATTCTGCTATCATTTGTCAAGACAGGACACTTGCCCAACTATTTCATTCCAGCCAACAACATGTTCCTGGGAAAGGTAAATCATCAAAACAGAAAGAAACTCTTTCATATTCTAAATTATTTCCATAAGAATAAGTTACTTTGTTTATCATTCGGAAAATTTTTTCAACCACCTTTATTGGAAAGGATTTGTAATTCAAAAACACAAAAGGAACTGAAGTGTTCACAACATGTAAGCGAAGTCGAGTATCAAGACGATGCAAGCATCTTTTTCGGATCAGTGTCTGTCTCAAATCAGTGCACCTCTATGAGACCAGCGATGAGTTTACTCATGAAATCACAGTCAGAGGTGGAGGAAGCCATTGCATATGGATATACACTAAGGAACATCTCTTTATTTGCACAGCATGATTATTGTCACCACATAGCTGGATCTTCACACAACAAGACCAGATACAAAAGGACAAGAAAATGTAGACACCAGATAATACTTTGTGCTGCTATGGGAACATGTACTGAACTCTTGTACTTAGCAACATTTTATTTCCTGACAGGCAACTATTCTAAGTCTCTAGAGATATGTAGAAATGTCTTGTCACAGCCTTCTTATTACACAGAGGGAACCACAGATCTACCACCAAAACAAAGAATATCATATTTACAGGAATACTGTGGAAAAGGTTACACATTAATATACAAACTTAAAAAAACACTGACAAAATCAATTGGTTTTGGAAAAGAAAGTCTGTTTCTTCCTTGTCTTCAACCAGAGGTTGTAAAGTGTCCATCGGGCCTGTACATACCCCCACTACCCTACACCATCTTTCTATCCTTCCTCTGCTGTAAGGAACTAGGAGACATCAAAGGATATGAAGCCGCTCTACACAGTCTGATTGTAGTGAAATATGATGATCTACAGGGAGCACACAGACACTGGATAGTTCACACACTCCTGGGACTCTGCTATGAAACTTTGGATGACCATACACGAGCTGTCCGAGCTTACATGGAGTCAGCACAAACAAAGACAAGATACCATGACTTCAATCCTGCCCCAGAGAGAATAGAGGCTCTACAGAGGTTAGACACTGGATAGCAGAAAAAAAACTAGATGTCTAGCTAACAAGCTAGCACACTGTAGATAACTGAGACTCTACAGAGGTCGGACACTGGATAGCAGAATAGATTTGATGTCTAGCTAGCCAGCATACTGTTAGTGACCACTGACCACTACAGAGAATTGAGGCTCTACAGAGGTCAGACACCTGATAGCAGAATAAATTATCCTCGGTAGATGCCTAGCTAGCACACTGTATTGTTAGTGACCACTGACTGCTAGTTATACTCGTCAGATTATGTTAGGCATGTTCAAGAAGGAACATTACCGATTGGCACTTTATTTTTGATATTTCGTGATTTTGATGACACTCTTAGCTCCTCTCAATGTGTAATAAGTTACTGTGATGGAGACATTGTGTATTATGGGACTTTTAAGGATGTGGTTGAACCTGTTGATGTCAAATTCAACATCCACTTGTATCCATTGTCCATCAGATCTAATATAAGAATCATTGTAGCGTATCAAATCTCCAATACATTTACTCTCCGATAAGGAATTCTTAACATGGAGTTGGCTGCCTGATTAAATGACCTTTGCATTATCAATTTGACCAAAATGTTTTCGTGTCTTTTATTATAAAACACGGGCTTAAGGTTCTAAAACTTGACATTGGTGATAATATCCATTGTAAGGTACTAACTCATAACCTATGTTTAACTAGAAGTAAAAAAATGTGAAAAGAGGATTTATATGGGAAAACTTATGAAAAAAGCAGTATAAATTGTATTATCATTCGATACTGCACAACAGCAGTGTAGTTTTAATCAATTTAGCTTGCTTCTGGAAGTTTGTAATTGGAAAAAGATTTAATGACTTTTTTGATAAATTACAATTACCCTTTTTGGAGTTTCTTAATTTAGATATAATCATTAAGTTTATGTCAAACCAAGGAAAATGTGACTAAACATTTGAAGACTTATCCATTTGCATGATGTTGATGATGTTGATGTTGTGTATATACATGTTATCCTTCCCATCATATACACTAGTAATGATAACAAATCATGATTTCAATAGACCAGAAACATTGATAATGAAGATTTCTAACTTGATGAAAAACCTGAACAGCAACTGTTTAATGGCATACACATGTATCATTGGTTTCTTAAATGAGAGCTGATGTTACAAATGGTAATTGAGGATGAAATATACTTACAAAAGTTTTTCAATAAGTACAAATCAAAGTGAAAGTACCTTTTAACTTGTATGTATATGGCAAAATATAACATCCTAGATTATTTATTTCACATCTAAAACGTATTTATATGATATCATTATAAGCCTGACTTGCCACAATAATTTATATTATCACAACAGCCTTTTATCATTGGTCAGTTCACTTGGAGTGGTTGATCTGTTAGGCTTAAGATTTCAGTTAAATGTTGATATTTTAGGCTTCAGGTTTCAATTAAATGTTGATATTTTTGGTTTCTGGTTTCAGTTAAATGTTGATATTTTAGGATTCTGGTTTCAGTTCAATGTTGATCTGTTAGGTTTCATGTTTCAGTTCATTGTCAATCTAAGATTTTTATTCAGTTCAATGTTGATCTGATAGGTTACAGGATTTCAATTTAATGTTGATCTGTAAGGTTTTAGTTAAACATTGATCTGCAAGGTTTTAGTTCAATGTTGATCTGCTATTTTTCAGTTCAATGTTTTTAGCTAGGTTTCAGTTCAATGTTGATTTCCTAAGTTTAGTACAATGTCATAATATAAGACAACAAATCAATGGAACAAAATTCACATCAATATTATAACAAAAATAAAATTAAATATAATTCCAATTTCACATGAATATTATTATTGCAAAAATAAATTATCATTCCTGATTTTTTTTAATCATTATTAAAACGGTTTCTTCTGATAAACATTTTCCCTGTATTCCATCCATGTAGAATATTTGATCATACCACATCTAGGTATTGAGAAGTTTCTTGAAATATGGGTCAGTCTAACTCTTTTTGGCCCAACCTATCAATCCCTTAGGACCGGATCTCAACCAAGAATTTATTGATACAAGGCTGCATATCGTATTTCATCAAAATCTGTTCATCTTTACTCAAAACTATTGTGTTCACAAGTTCCACTGGGAATGAATTATAAAGGGTCACAACTGTCAGTTACGATCAAATCTGTTCCATTTATTCAAATTCTTCCTCAGATCTCGTATATATAGGGCTGTATACAAAGTCATCAAAATCTGTTGATATTTATTTAATTTATTGTGTTTACAAGATTCCATGGTAATAAAACTGCAAAGGGCCATAACACTGTTTTGGTATGAAGGTTTTACCTGGTCTATACAAGCTCCCTTTTTCTGTGCATATGACCCCCACAAAATAAACACCAGCTCTGTTTGACTTTTGTTGAGCCATGATATGACAGCATCAGTGAATTTCTCCCAGCCTTTATCTTTGTGAGAGTTGGCCTGGTGTTCACGCACCGTCAGACAGGAATTCAGTAGAAGCACACCTTAAATAGAATCACAAAACAACAGATGTACCAGAAAGTGATGTTATATCCAGAACTGGGTCTCTTGATTAAAGAGAAAAGCAATATAAATATTTAAAATTTTAGCAACCTAGACCCAGCTTTGACCATGTATATAGGTCAAGGTCATTCATGTGAACAACCTTGGTACCCATTATCCAGGCATGCTTTTGCTCCAATAGTAAGAACTCTGAACTCTTGGTTATTAAAAAGCCATGAAAAAGACAATTTGACCCCTGTGACTTTGAAAAGTCTAAGTTGCTCCTTTTAACAGTCTTAAGAATTCTTCATTGCAGCAGGATAAGGGCCCTATATCATGACCAAGGACCTTATGTTTATTAAGATATAGTTGTTTGAAGGGAAAAGTTGACACCAGACAGACACTGCTCCTTTATACTTAAGCTCACTTGCCATTCGAGAAGATGAGCAAAAAACCTGATCAGTGTACTGTGACCATGCTGGTGGAATCCTTTTGTTTCACCTACCTTGTTCAGCCCAGCCTATCAGTGTACCATGACCAGGGTGCTGGAATCCCTCTATATCAGATATTAGCTCCTTATACATGTTCTCTAAGCTGTAACAAACAAGATAAACTATCCAGTTTGATTGGATGGCTATGTCTTAGGGAGGATAGTTTGTGTTCTGTTGAGTTCTGCAGTGGTCCACAGTCTGATCCCAATCAGTAGAGTGTAAGTATAGTAAATCTGCAGTGGTCCACAGTCTGATCCCAATCAGTAGAGTGTAAGATTAGTAAATCTGCAGTGGTCCACAGTCTGATCCCAATCAGTAGAGTGTAAGATTAGTAAACCTGCAGTGGTCCACAGTCTGATCCCAATCAGTAGAGTGTAAGATTAGTAAATCTGCAGTGGTCCACAGTCTGATCCCAATCAGTAGAGTGTAAGATTAGTAAATCTGCAGTGGTCCACAGTCTGATCCCAATCAGTAGAGTCCTTTATCATCCCTTAAAAACTTTGTCACAGTCGTAGGATAACACAATGCACCAATAAAAAGGACTTAACCTTCTTACTGAGACTAAAGAGAATTTTCATGCAAAATTTGTAGAGTGCAAGAACTGAAAAAGTCTAGGCTCTGATCCCAGTCAGTAGAGTGTAAGATTAGTAAATCTGCAGTGGTCCAGAGTCTGATACCTAGGAAAGACACAGAAAATCAATTACCTCCCTTTTATATAATGGAGGAACTTGGGAAGTATTGAATCAAATTCTAGCCATTACAGAGAATTTCTCTTTAGCTGTGTTTTAGTATTTAAATCTACTAAGCCACAGGTTTGGCACCTAGAATGACCATGGTATTTACAGTCAGTAGGGTTGTACATATATAGAGGTAATTTCTACTATCTCACCTTGGTGGTGGTTTCACTCCTTTCTGTACACTGAAACACAGACCTGTAAAATAACACAAATGTCAGAATGAAATCACTCTTCATTGACGAAATATTGATACTGAGCTGCTCAAAATGTTTCATATAAATCTTTTCCTATCTACTTTCATGTTCACAAGGTCAAATAGTAAGGCAATTGCGAAGGGCCATACCTCAGTAACTTAAAATTGAATCTGTCCCATTGTGTAAAACACACGAGATCTTATTGATAGAAGGCTGCATACTAAAGTTTCATCAAAATCTATCCTTATTTACTCAACTTAAGGTCATGTTAACAAGAAAAGCAAGATGCCCAATGACATACCTATAGTCAGGTGACCTAACATGTTCTTACCACTTCAAGGTTTTGGTATGACTGCAAAAATTTGAACCATTTGAAATCAAATATTTATTGATTTAATCTATAACTTACTGTGAGCTTATTGTGGTTGGATCTATAACTTACTGTGAGCTTATTGGGGTTGGATCTATAACTTACTGTGAGCTTATTGGGGTTGGAGCTATAGCTTACTTGGAGCTTATTGGGGTTGGGTCTGTAGACCTATCATGAGCTTGCTTTGGTCAGGTCTGGTCTAGTCTGTAGACCAATCATGAGCTTGCTTTGGTCAAGTTTGGTCTGGTCAGGGGTCAGGTCTATAGACTTACCATGAGCTTGTTCCGGTCAAATCTGGTCTGATTAGGTCTGTAGACATACCATGAGCTTGTTCTGGTCAGGTCTGATCTGGTCTGGTCTGTATACTTACCATGAGCATGTTCTGGTCAGGTCTGATCTGTCAGGTCTGTAGACTTACCATGAGCTTGTTTTGATCAGGTCTGATCTGTCAGGTCTGGTGGGGTCTATAGACTTACCATGAGCTTGTTTTGATCAGGTCTGGTCTGTAGACTTACAATGAGCTTGATTTGATTAGGTCTGGTGGGGTCTATAGACTTACCATGAGCTTGTTTGATCAGGTTTGGTGAGGTCTGTAGACTTACCATGAGCTTGTTTTGATCAGGTCTGGTGGGTCTGTAGACTTACCATGAGCTTGTTTTGGTCCATGGTATGGATCCTGTCCCAATATCACAACCTTCACCTATAATATAGACATTGTGTTAGACAAAACAGAGTCAGACAATGCATATAATGGCTGAACCAAGAAATGCTCACAAGGCAACGTATGATTATGATAATTCGCTTCAAACAATGTGTTAAAAGTTTTCCAAAGTTTAAGTTAATATCAACGCTGAATGAGTCATATATACCCAGCAATAACCCAGTAATACACCAATACACTAATTCTTTCTACATCTATGTAAACTTACAGACTAAGTCATATCTAACCCACCAATATACCTAGACATCTAATTCTACATCTATGTAAACTTACAGATTAAGTCATATCTAACCCACAAATATACCTAGACATCTAATTCTACATCTATGTAAACTTACAGATTAAGTCATATATAACCCACCAATATACCTAGACATCTAATTCTACATCTATGTAAACTTACAGTCACCAATATACCTAGACATCTAATTCTACATCTATGTAAACTTACAGATTAAGTCATATCTAACCCACCAATATACCTAGACATCTAATTCTACGTCTATGTAAACTTACTGAGTCCAATGTGCAATACTGTGTCCAGGAGAACACTTGGTTAGCAGGTGGATATATTGTGTGTTTAGCTCTCTCTGCCTCCACAAACTTTGTCAGCTAAAATATAACACATTCATTATTCATGTTCCAAACACTTAAATTGTATCAGAATAGTTTCACTTTTTCTAAACAATCATTGTCCTTAAAAAAACTCATAGAATATCAAAGTGTTACGATTTAAATGATGCATCAGACCCATTTGGTGATGGTTATCCTAGAGTATGGTACTTATACATCATCAAACAGTCAAATCCATCTCCTGATACCAAAATGATCAAGAAATGGATTACTTCACTCGCCTTTTATTTACTAATGAGGTAACAGAGGGTATAACCATATAAAGCTAGTAGGGACAAGATGATGCTGGTGTTACTTCAAATTCAAAGTTCTATTTATATAAAAGACAAAACAATACAGGAAACTGAAAAAACTATCACTACTTTGCAACAATTTACAAGAAACAGATAAAGAATTTAGGTAATTTGACGCATTAATATTCTTCCAAGGAGGGTCAATGTACAGGAACTGACCTTGAAACTGATCACTATGGGATGTGTAGTAGTTTCATTACTGGAGATGACCTTGACACTGGTCACAGAGGTCTATGTACTGGAACTGACCCTGACACTGATCACTATAAGGTTTATGTTGTGGTGCCTACCTTGATACCGAGAGTCTATCTACTGTAACTGAAATGGACAGCTCACTAGAGTTTATTTCTGCAGCTGACCTTGACACAGATCACTAATGTTTATTACTGGAGCTGGTGCATTGACTTAGATACATTTTGGTTTACAGACCTTTGATAGAATTTCAAACTATTTTCAGACAATAACAGACAACCAATTAAATACAGGTCCTTTATCACTCATCTAGCTTTGTTCGACTGAAATTAATTCATTCAATCCAAAGAAAAAGGATTTTTTTAAGGTTTATATTGATTTCTTAATTGGGTCCAATACCTATACCCCAGAGTGTCAACAAAACCACTGATACAAGTTTCCTTCACCAAAGAATTCTTCAGATATAACTGGGACAGAAACCTGATATTCTTATAGACAAAATAAGGATTTTAAAGAATTTGCACCTACTTACCCAATAATGCCTCAAAAATCCTGCCCCAGGGGGCCAAGACCAATCGTTTATGTAAATTTGATTCCCTTCACACAGGAATGGTTTAGACTAAATATGGGCCAAATCAAATCATTCCTATAGCAGAAGTAATATCTTACAGAAATTGTTCTATTTCCCCTTTTAGACTTGCCCCGCTTGGCCGAGAGGGGGCTGAAACCCATCGTATATACAAAATTGCTTCCCTTCCTCAAGAATGCTTCAGGTCAAATTTAGGCAACAACTGCTAAGTTTTTCAAGACAAGTAGCAATTTGTTTAAAAAAAAAGCTGACAAACCAGGTAAGCTAATAATTATTTTTCATTTTTCTCAGAGAGTTGAAAAGCCATACAAAAATCTGGAAAGCCATGGAATTAATTCATTAAGATATATCAGGTATGCACTGTATCTGCAGCACAGTTGTATTAGGATCATGCGTAACATTTGCTTGAAATTTAATTCATCCAGATATAAAAGATATTAAATGATTAAGTATTACCTCTAGGAAATAATTCTTTGAAAATTCTTTCTCCAATGCATTTTTCCAGGTCTCCCCAAAGTTGACGACAAGACCTTTAGAGTTGGCAGTTTTAGAATGAAGCTTTGCTATGGCTTTTATTCTATTCTGTTCCATTCGGGCCTTCTGTTCTGGTGACAAAGCTGTGGATGTACCATCTGCACTTGACTTTGTTTCTGGAGTCAATTCTTGCTTCTCTGTTTTGGTCTTCTTAGATGGTGTAATATTCTACAATTTGAACAAGATATTGACAAACAAAAGAAACCTAACCATCCAATTTTAAGTAATATAGTAAATATTTACAAATTTTGTTGAAGTAACAGCCATTATAGTAAGTTAAAGATGAACAACTGTTTTATAAGACAACTCTGTCAAATAACCACTATATGTAGTAATGATCACTTTGACAAGGGAAGTCAATTAAGTACTGCGGAGGAGGAAAGGTATGGAAAAGGAATACATAGCACCAAAGGAGTCATGTTTGGACAGTGTCTCTTTAAACCATTGGAGTCTGCAATCATATCAATGACAGGTCAGAAGCATTCCCACTTCAATAGAAGATGCCTTTAAAGTCATATTGATATTTATTCCTGGAGTTTTTGGCCCTAGAGTCACTTTTTTTCTATTGTGCAGCTCTGAAATGTATGAAAATATTTCTAAGAAAGCAAATAGGAAGTTTGAGGGAAGCTGGTCAATTTGAAAGTGATCGGCATGGACTTGGATATGGGTAAGGCAAAAATACTAGTTATTTTTCAAAGATCCAAGAAAACACCAACATTTTGAATCCGTCTCTGTTATATTGTTATTACATATATATATATATATCCTTTTGTGTTATCACACATGACGTCATGGCGACATGGAGTTATCTACACGGTGTTGTCACCAAGGAAATTCAGAATACATAATTATATTTATATCAGTCCAATTAAATGTTTCAAGAATACTTGCAAAATAATTATGTCACAAAATACATAGATCTAATTTCGAATGCATATTACAAATGAATGAACTAGTCACGATTTTGAGTGTGTGCAGTACTTAGTTTGATTATAAAGTTGATTTTATTTTGACTATTGTGTGTTTACTTCGACGACCCAATGTGCCGCTGATGTGTGCCTGATGTAAACATCAATACCTGTTCGTCCTGTGTCATTTCTGTTGAACGCTTATTGGGTGTTGGTCCAGTCTTAAAAAATGCTGAAATTTTAGATTGACCTATCATAACTGGTATTTTTGCCAACTTTCCTGTCTGATGGAATGGAGACTGTAATCTTGTAAACATAAATATCGCCGCTATTCGTCTCCCGCGCTTGATGGTAATGAGGCTTCTTTCTGTGCACATGCGCGTTACCAACCTGGGGCACTTTCATTTTTCCGGTCGTAACGGCACGGAGGAGTAACAATTTCTTTCCGCATAAAAGACCGCATGTTATCTATGTAAACTATGATATAAGTTTTTGAAAGTATCAAGTACATAGTTACTTGTGTATCATGATTTACATGTATCTGATAAAGTGGCTACATTCTCAAATAAAGGTTTATGTTTTTTCAACTCGCTTTACTCATAAAACAATGACCGAGAGCCTGCTTTTTTCTATTAACAACATATTAAATTTAATGACTTGTGTTTTATTCCTGAAAGCTGAAAAAATATCGCCAATACAGATCAAACAACGCCTTCAAATTAGAATTAGGCGAACTTTTCATGTCTGCTTGAAATGACCATATACAGTTGTTGAAGACATGCCGCGCATGCGTAGATTTCTCGTTCCATGTGAAGATTTTTTTACAATAGATTATCAGAGACGTATGTAACGTGTTATATACGTCGCTGAGATTATATAACGGCATTTCAGAAAAAAAATATAGATATATCGTTGAGTTTAAACATATTTTATTGCCAAAATAAATTTGAACAAGGGAATTGGGCACAAGTTATTGCAACGTATTGGAGCCCTCTCCCATCATACATTTTCAAATACAAGTAGATACCTTTTACGGATAATGTCGTGGAGGACAGAAGGACACCCCTCCGTGGAGGACAGTCAAAGGGAGGGAACTCCCTTCCGTCCTCCTTCTACATATAGTCTATACGCCCTCCTTCTCCACGGAGTACATGCTTATAAAGATATAGGTTTAAACATATATTATACATATTAAGCATTTACACACAAACATAAATACATCATCGTATAAGAATCTTTTAAAGCCTTTTGCTGGATTTAATGAAATTTTGTACATGTGTAAAGACAAAATAGTTTAGGTCCTCAGAAAGATCAATACTACCAAACAAAAGAAGTTCTAAATTCAAATCTACTTCAAATTCAGCCAAATTATGAAACAAATGCGTCTTTCATTTCTGAAAGTTTGACACTCAAAGAAGAAGTGAAAGGCATTCTCACAAGGATGTCCACAGGAGCAAACTGGATTTTCAGCAAATTTACTCGATAAAGATCGTATTTAAGGGAACTACAACTGTGTCTAAGTTTAGTATGTATTATGTTTAACTTACGTTCACCATAACTAAAATAGATAGGTGGGGATTGTTGTGTATTTAAAGTAAGTGAGGTTTTAAACAAATTTATGGAAGGCAGTGACCGTACAGAGAAATCGAACAAATTCCAGCTACGAAGTGTAGAAGGTATAAAAGAGAGGTTTGTAAGAGAAAGCCCAAATAGAGGAACTCTATAATCATTGTTATTTCTAAGATTGTATCTCTTATTACCTGCAACAATAGGTGGCAAGAGAGTGTTTAAATTATCTGGAGTTAGCTTGTTATGCATTTTAAATAAAAGTTGAAGTTTTCTTTCATTTTCGACGATTCGAAAGTGTATCTAAACCAGTTTCAAAATATAAATCTTCTATACGTGCATAAGAAGGAAGGCCAGTTATAATACGAGCAGCTTCTCTTTGGGCTTTCTCTTAATTATCTGATTCAGTATTAGTGCAACCGTCCCAAAATTCACACGCATACTCTAAAATTGGTAAAATAAAAGTTTTGTAAATTTTTAAGAGACTGTTTCTATTTAACAAATATTCCAACCTTCTTAAGGCATTGGTTTTCTTCATAACAGATATATATGTAGCATTGATATGAACCCCCCTATATATATATATATAGGTGAAAATTAGTTGTGTCATTTTTTAGTTGAAATTTACACATGAATCCCTTTCATAGTCTTATCAATTTTTAACAAAACGACTGTTTTGACAACTTCAGTGTGAGATAAAAGCAATATTGTGTATAAATTTCTAAATGTATGCCTCTGACTATCAAGTATAGTAACTTTCCAACACATTGACATATGGCTTGACAAACTTGAATTAAAAATTAGTTGTGTCATTGTTTAGGTGAAAATAACACATACATGTAATTTCAGTTCATAGTCCCAACGCTGTACATGTAAACACGGCATCACTGTACGTGTATCGATGAGTCATTAAGACGGACTGCTGTTTATAGATTTCAGATTTTATTTCTCACTCAGACATACAAACGGTATGTTACAGGAGGCCAAAACTGATAGCAATTCTTCACGTGGCGGACAAGTATCATGAAACATTAAAATACGTACATCTAGACGTTTTTCAAGCTTTTTCAAGATTTTTAAAAAATTGATAAAACTTTAACTTTACAAATTAAGAATAATCCATGCATTTTATTTAGTCTAGAATTCACACAATAATAATTAGGGATAAATATATCTCTAATTCTTTTGATCGATGTATGCTCACGTTTAAATAAATAATGAAATTCATTACCGATATTATTACTACAACATATATTACAAGTTCTGTTTTCCTTAGGTATTCCGATCCATCTACCAGTTTCCATTGGTAGATTTGTATTTGACGTTCTAAACTTAACAATAATCTGTCTTTCTCTTGGTTTTAGTATCGAAAAGTCTTTTTTCCATCTCGAAATTCAACTTCATTATAGAATATGTATTTCCACGAGAGGAATTTTCAATATCATTACTTGACCCATTTTTTAATAAACTGATCTTTTAATCTTCGCTTTACAATAAGTTTAATATAATCTGACATAAATGTACCTACTTTTTGATAATCCCAGAGAAAATTAATACAAGTTTCTATCGGTATATTAGTGAGGAATAAAATGTACGAGTTCAATAATCAATTTCTAATCAATGTTCATCTTTTCGATAGTGTAAGTGGTTACGATAAGATATAGTTAACCGTAGATGTTGTAGACCCTTTCCGATCCGAATCCTTGATCAAGTGTTTTTAACTGTTAATCTTCAAATTTTAATTGTTCTGTTCAAATGTATTTTCAAATTCTAGATCTTCTCGCATTTTTAGTTGTTTTAACTAAAGTAAGGAGTGTCAGATGATTTCTTCGTATATTGAATCTGTGAAATCACAAAGGACATAGAGTCGGACGATAAGAGATTAGCCCACTTGTACCTGTCCAGGTAAATTACTGAGGTTTACTGGCGCGTCCTTCGAAATAACTGACCTTATGAACTCATATAATAAAGTGTGATGTTTTAATTCAAAAGATCTTGTTAAACTGAGTTGTAACACTCTGATTTTTTATAATAATCATTGAAGGTGGTTATTTTTTGTTTGTGATTTTGAACATGGATATTTATGCTATCACGGATTTAAATTCAAAACGAGTCCGATATGTACCGAACTATTACGGACTAGCAGATGATACCTATGTCACCATGACTGTACCGGTCTTCCGAGTAAAAGAGTACATACTAAGTCCGAACTAGTAAAGAGTATAATTCGATAAAATTACTCATCCATGTCTGGCCCCATTCTACATGTGGTCTCTCGTGCCTTCGACTCGATAACGCTAAGGGGACGTAACCCATGGTATCTCTTATGTAGTAAATTCTAGTACCGAATTATAAATATACATTTATGTTTTACTAGTGACTGATGGAAACTGATGAATGCACCAACTCCTCTACAAGATTACATCCAAATACCGTGTTATAAATAAGTCAAAGATCACTAGACTCTTGTAGTTACTTTCTGAAGTTCCAATAACAGAAAGTTATGGAAACTGATTAATGCACCAATTTCTCTATTACAAGATCACATCTAAATACCTTGTTATAAATATACTAGATATTACTAGAGACTTATATAAACAATTTTTTCCTTGGTAAGTTATTAATGGAAACTGGTCAAAATATCGTGTCACCAATACAAGGGAAATAACTCCTACTGACAAAGCGCTACCAATCTCCCATCATCCGATGCTACAATTGCCGGAATTTATATTCTCAGTGCCTCCAGCTTCCCATACGAGTAAATTTGAAGGCAAGAACAACCAAATTACTCACATATGTCGTGTTCTGTCACCGGCTCTGCAAGATAGTGTCAGAAAATGGAAATGTACAGAAAAACCTAATATAAACATTGCAATTTTTTAATGATATTAATTTATTCTATTGTATTAATTCACATAATTATTAATTTTCTTTTACAAGCAATATTTAAAAGTAAAATAAAACAGACTGAAGATGTAATAAAAACAACCGTTCCAAGACTACAAGTACCAACCAAACGTGTGATTGACACTATGATCTAATCTGTCGTTGTGTGAAGTTATGTAATTGTCTATTACACTTACGTGAGCGAAATATAGAATTTGGATTCTATCCGCGTTCTACAGTAATTAAACCAATATGGCGGCGGCCGCATAGTGATACGCTGTAGGCAAACTACGAAAATAGATACAATCGACACATCACTTACATCTAACAACACCCATCAATGTAAAACATATATACTCTAATATACATGTGTACAAAAGTGAAATTTCCCTAGTGTCTACACGTAGTCATGTTGTAAAGGCGTTTTGAGTTGGAATTTGCGAAAACGTACAAGTTACCAGGACAGTGCCGTTAATTTCTAGACAGGTGTTCAGAAATTTATTTGAAGTTGTAATTTTTGTTGAAATTAGTGATATTTTTGCATGTTTAGCATTTTTTTTATTTGGTAACCATGGCAATCACAAGTCAAAAATCAAGGGGAAATATTTTGTTTACACAATTTTATTTCTCTAATGTTACTACAATTACTATGTAGTTTATATATAAATAATATATATACATATAAGTGTGCATTTTTCATAACCGATCCACTATACCTGTATATCTCAAACATGTCTTATGTTTTAAGGAAAAATGCAAATTAGATGTTCCTGATACCCAAGACCGATCCACCATACCTGCATATCTCAAACATGTCTTATGTTTTCAGGAAAAATGCAAATGAGATGTTCCTGATACCCAAGCATGTCCAGTGCTACATTTATTGATCTAAACACAATTAATTAATTCATTACTGTAAATATATTAAATAACGATACACTTATGACTTTTCAAGGTATGTTTTATTCATGGAATTTGCTGCTTCTTGGAAACAATGTTAAGAACAAGATGAAAATATTACTGTACTTGATATAGGTCGCCCTGAACACAGTTGAATAGTCTTTATAGTGTAATGGAACACTACAAAGGAGAGTGTGGTGGGGATAGATGGGGTGTAATGGAACACTTCAAAGGAGAGTGTGGTTGGGACAGATGGGGTGTGATGGAACACTAAAGGAGAGTGCGGTGGGGACAGATAGGGTGTGATGGAACACTAAAGGAGAGTGTGGTGGGGATAGATAGGATGTGATGGAACACTAAATGGGAGTGTGGTGAGGACAGATGGGGTGTGATAGAACACTAAATGAGAGTGTGGTGGGGACAGGTAGGGTGTAATGGAACACTGAAGGAGAGTGTGTTGGGGACAGATAGGGTGTGATGGAACATTAAATGGGAGTGTGGTGAGGACAGATGGGGTGTGATGGAACACTAAATGGGAGTGTGGTGAGGACAGATGGGGTGTGATGGAACACTAAAGGAGAGTGTGGTGGGGACAGATAGGGTGTGATGGAACACTAAATGAGAGTGTGGTGGGGACAGATAGGGTGTGATGGAACACTAAAGAAGAGTGTGGTGGGGACAGATGGGGTGTGATGGAACACTAAAAGAGAGCGTGGTGGGGACAGATGGGGTGTAATGGAACACTACAAAGGAGAGTGTGGAGGGGACAGATAGGGTGTGAAGGAACACTAAAGGAGAGTGTAGTGGGGACAGATAGGGTGTGATAGACACTAAAGCAGAGTGTTGTGGGGACAGATGGGGCGTGATGGTGGAAACGGATAGGGTGGTATTGAACAGTAAAATAAGAGAGTTTGGTGGGAACCTATAGCGTGGCATTGAACTGTAAAATAAGAGAGTGTGGTGGAAACGGATAGGGTGGTATTGAACTGTAAAATAAGAGAGTGTGGTGGAAACGGATAGGGTGGTATTGAACAGTAAAATAAGAGAGTGCATTGGGGACGAAAGGGGTAAGATGGAAAACTTCAATAGGAAAGTGTGGTGGGGACGGATGGGGAGAGATGGAAACATAAATAGGGAAATGTGGTTAGGACGGGTAGGGTGTGATGAAAAATTTTAAATAGGAGAGTGTGATCGGGGCGGATCGGGTGTGATAAAACATCATAATAGGAGAATGTGGTGGGGACGGATGAGGTGCGATGGAACACTTAAAAAGGAGAGTTTGGTGTGGACGCAAGAGGTAAGAACACTTTAACAGAAGGGTGTGGTGGGGGAGGATAGGGTGTGATGGAACACTTCAACAGGAGATGTGATGGAACACTTCAATAGGAGATGTGATGGAACGCTTCAATAGAAGATGTGGTGGAACGCTTCAATAGAAGATGTGGTGGAACGCTTCAATAGGAGATGTGATGGAACGCTTCAATAGGAGATGTGATGGAACACTTCAATAAGAGATGTGATGGAACACTTCAATAAGAGATGTGATGGAACACTTAAATAGGAAATGTGATGGAACACTTCAATAGGAGATGTCATGGAACACTTCAATAAGAGATGTGATGGAACATTTCAATAAGAGATGTGATGGAACACCTAAATGCGAGAACACGGTGGAGCAGTTGCAGAGCGCGATGTAAACGGGATGTGATAGAACATTCGGAGAAGATGTGATACAGCATAGGATGAGGACGGTATGAAAGTTGTGTGAGCACGGTGGGGACGACTGAGGTGGAATATTGGGAAAGGACGATGGGAATGGGATGTGATAGATCACTTGGAGAAGATATAATAGAACTAAGGAAGAACGTGATGGAGATGGGATGTGATGGGACATTGGGGGAGCGCTCTCGGAATGGGATGTGATGGGACATTGGGAGGGCGCTCTCGGAATGGGATGTGATGGGACATTGGAAGGGCGCTCTCGCAATGGGATGTGATGGGACATTGAGAGAGCGCTCTCGGATTGGTATGTGATGGGACATTGAGAGGGATCTCTCGGAATGGGATCTGAAGGGACATTGGGAGGGCGCTCTCGGGATGGGATGTGATGGAAAATTGAGAGGGCGCTCTCGGAATGGTATGTGATGGGACATTGAAAGGGCGCTCTCGGAATGGGATCTGATGGGACATTGGGAGGGCGCTCTCGGAATGGGATGTGATAGATCACTTGGAGAAGATATAATAGAACTAAGGAAGAACGTGATGGAGACGGGATGTGATGGGACATTGGGGGAGCGCTCTCGGAATGGGATGTGATGGGACATTGGGAGGGCTCTCTCGGAGTGGGATGTGATGGGACATTGGGAGGGCGCTCTCGCAATGGGATGTGATGGGACATTGAGAGAGCGCTCTCGGATTGGTATGTGATGGGACATTGAGAGGGATCTCTCGGAATGGGATCTGAAGGGACATTGGGAGGGCGCTCTCGGAATGGGATGTGATGGAAAATTGAGAGGGCGCTCTCGGAATGGTATGTGATGGGACATTGAGAGGGCGCTCTCGGAATGGGATCTGATGGGACATTGGGAGGGCGCTCTCGGAGTGGGATGTGATGGAATATTTTGAGAATGCAGCCGGGATGGAGTGTGAAATAAAATGAGACCGCGTTGGGGCCAGTATGTGATAAAACCGTGGAAGGGTATGTATGGGCCGTGATGGTTCACATTATTGTGATAAAATCATTCTAAACATATTGCAACTGTAGTCATTTGAAATGCACTTTTTGTTCCATAAAAAATGGGAGTTGCCTCCCCTTACCTAATGGATGGCTATAATGTAATGCAAAAAGTCTGCATTGTATTCTTCATTTGGAAATGACATACATAGGCATAGCTTGTTATCTGATCATATTAGAGTATGAAAAGTTAATAAAACCTTATGAGAACAAAGTGTGTTGGAGTATGAGGATAATGCGATGGGGACAGTGGATGTAAATAAAAGATGAGGTGATTATCGTAATATGGTCGTGGATTCATGGAGGGTGGGTCGAGTTAGGGACTGGATTGGGTGTGGCCTCTCGAGGAGAGAATGAACCGGTATCATATCTATATTATATCATATGGTCATGGTTCGCTAATAACATAACATAACTATTGTTTATACAATGCTGTACAGTCAAAAATATAATTATCACACAAATCATGTACGGACCTATCCTATTCAGGCAATCATTCCGTCCGTCCGATTTCATATCCTCGTTACCTACACCGCGAAGTACCAGATATATGACCCTCTGTGTTATAACTCGAACCCGTCCTCTAACACGAAACCTTAATACCGCCTCCCCCGGTCTTATGTAGGATGTTATGGGATCAAACAACCAGTTAATTAAGTCTAGAATGTATTTTTATCTTTCCGGATTTTCCTCTTATAGACTAATAAGGCGACATAGAAAACTACTTGTCCGCCAACACACTATTGTTAATGACGTGTCAACATCTACTTCCGTAATAATGAAACGACAAATGCTTGTTTTAAAAAAGACACAAACAACAACGAGAAACGTTCTTCACATAAGTTAACCGATATGGAGATCATGAAAGCGTCACAGTTTGTTCAAAGCGAATACTTTTTATCGAATAAGCTTGTCAGTATCTGGAAGGATGGTGGACACAAGGGGTTGACTTGCTTCAGTAATAACGGTAGGCAACATGATCGTGTAGCGATGATTACGGTAAGTGACCAGATGATGGATACTGGTAATGACGGTGGTGTGGGTGATACTGTAACGGTAATTACACTTGACCAGGTGACGGATACTGGTAATCACGGTGGTGAAGGTGATACTGTAATGGTATTTACATGTGACAAAGTGATGGATACTGGTAATTACGGTGGTATGGGTGATACTGTAACGGTAATTACATGTGTCCAGGTGACGGATACTGGTAATCACGGTGGTGTGGGTGATACTGTAACGATGATTACACTTGACCAGGTGACGTATACTGGTAATTACGGTGGTGTGGGTGATACTGTGACGGTAATTACATGTGGCAATTACACTTGACCTGGTGACGGATACTGGTAATCACGGTGGTGTGGGTGATACTGTAACGGTAATTACATGTGGTAATTACACTTGACCTGGTGACGGATACTGGTAATTACAGTGGTGAAGGTGATACTGTAACGGTTGTTACACGTGACTAGGCGACGGATACTGGTAATGACGGTGGTGTTGGTGATACTGTAACGGTAATTACATGTGACATGGTGATGGATACTGGCAATTACGGTGGTGTGGGTGATACTGTAACGGTAATTACATGTGGTAATTACACTTGACCTGGTGACGGATGCTGGTAATTACGATGGTATGGGAGATACCGTAACGGTAATTACATGTGTCCAGGTGACGGATACTGGTAATTACGGCGGATACTGGTAATACTGTAACAGTAATTACAAGTGACTAGGTGACGGATACTGGTAATCACGGTGGTGAAGGTGATACTGTAACGGTATTTACATGTGACAAAGTGATGGATACTGGTAATTACGGTGGTGTGGGTGATACTGTGACGGTAATTACATGTGGTAATTACACTTGACCTGGTGACGGATGCTGGTAATCATGGTGGTGTGGGTGATACTGTAACGGTAATTACATGTGTCCAGGTGACAGATACTGGTAATCACGGTGGTGTGGGTGATGCTGTAACGATAATTACACTTGACCAGGTGACGGATACTGGTAATTACGGTGGTGTGGGTGATACTGTGACGGTAATAACATGTGGTAATTACACTTGACCTGGTGACGGATACTGGTAATTACGATGGTGTGGGTGATACTGTAACGGTTGTTACACGTGACTAGGTGACGGATACTGGTAATTACGTTGGTGTAGGTGATGATGTTGTCACGCACACCTGTATGTTTACCTGTGCATTGTTATTGAGTTGGTCACGTGAGCGGGTATGCGAGTGTGAGCGGAACAGTGGACATTGACTGTCCAGGTGACCAGCACGCCTTTGTTCTGTTTTCGTCACCTGTTTGCCGATTTTATGGCGTGAGTGACTTTGTTTAGTCGTGGAAATGAAGCCCAGACATCTGACTGGGGTAAGTATTCTGTCTTTCTTTCGTAATATGCTGTTTTATGTGGTTGTTTATTGCCATATTTACGATGTCCTTCTTATAGGTCAAGCTATCTATTGTCGGTGCGTGTTCGTTCATGCGTAGCTTTCAGTGTTTACGATGCATGTTTATTTTCTAGGATTTAACGTTGAATTAGGCTGGATACATTTGAAAATTGTTATTGTACATCTAGAGTGGCTATTTTGTCAGTTATTTAGTCGTTGTAAAACCGTAAAGTACACGTAGAAATGTGGTTACGTTCGTGTTAAAAAAAGTATGGAAGCCGTGAGTGGAAGTCGTGTGCGCATGAACCGTTGTGAGAGCGTCACGGTATAAATTCTATAGAAGGCCGTTAGCGTCGTGTATGTTTCGCGTAACGATATGGTTGTTTTGTTGAATTTTGATATTGTGTATTTTATCACGCACCGTAGAATTGTAAAATGTAGTCGTGTATTCCCATTGTATTACACAAACAAATAATAGAGTATTGATTATAAATAATGTTAATTTACTGGTTAGTTGTAAGAAACTTTGTGAGTTATATGTAATTGTAGTCATGGGTGGAAGGATGAACGTTTAGTGGTCTTTTGTTTTTGTTTTAAGCTTCACATGATGGGTAAATCACCATAGAGCCTACAGAAGGTCAGCACCGCTGGAGCGCCAGGTCTTCGCCGTGCAGTAACGGGACCGACCAACGTTACATTTCAGTCACTCAGGATCTAGGTCAACTGCAAAGAAGGATTGTCTCCAGGGACAGGCTGTCATGTAGCGACTCGGCTGTAATATATAAGCTAGTCACCGCCCTATCAGTGAGGGAGTTTCAGGATACGGTTGCTTTGTCAGCAATTCGTCTTGGTGTTGGGAACTGAGCGAGTCGTTCCTTTACAACTCGGACTTTGTCAGTCCACGGAAGCTGTTTTGCGTGCACCCTCCGTGTGCACTATTCGACACATTGGAGATGTTGATTGTGAGACCACCTTGTACCTTGTCTGTGAAGAGACTGTAGCCATCTTTACTGTTAAAGTGTATGAATGGAGAGTGATTGTGAGTGTGACTGGGTGTCTGTAGTTTTCATGTTTTCTATGTTAATAAATTTGTGTATATGTTCATTTGTTGCATTCTTGTGTTGATTTCCTGATATACTGCACAGAGGCCCGTCCCACGTTACAAAATTGGTGGCAGCGGTGGGATGACCGACGTTAAGTGTTCTGGAAAGAAACACAGGAGATAGTTTAGGATAGATTGCTTGACATTTCTCGCGTTGCTTCTTCTCCGTCTTTGCTGTATTTTCGTTTTACCATGGATCCGGTAGCTGTGAGAGAGCCTTGAAGGTAAGTAGGTTGCTAATCCGGACGGACGTCATTTGCATGTCAAGAACAAACAAGGATAGTGGTTGTAATTTTGCTTAGTTAAGAGTTGTATTTTACAGTTTATTCTTGTTATTTTCTATTTCAAAGTAATATTATTTGCCATCATGTCTCAGCTCCGTGAACTCATCGCAACGGGAAAGGATTTGGGGTATGAAGGTACCAAGTTGCAGGAGTTTATACGAGAGGAGCAGGCGAAAGAAAGAGAGGAACGTGAGCAGGAGAGACAGGATCGCCAAGCGAGGAGAGAGGCCGAGTTTGCTTTGAAGATGGAAGAAGAGAAGACAGCTATGCTCGCTGAGCAAGCCAAGATAGAAGCAGAGAGAGAAGCCAGAGCGAGGCGTGAAGTAGACAACAAGTTGAAGCTGATCGCGGAAGAGGCTAGAATAGAAGCAGAAAGAGAGGCTAGAGCTGAAGAGAGAGCACGAAGGGAGCATGAACGCAAGATGGAACTCTTTCAAGCTGGAATGGGTACTCTAGAAGAGTCGTCCTTTTCTACTCCTAGAGATTTGCCTGTGCATAGAGGTCCTAAGTTACCAGCTTTTGATGAAAGCAAAGACAACATGGACGCTTACATACAGCGATTTGAAAGATATGCTTCAGCGCAACAATGGAAGAGAGAAGACTGGGGAGCGAACTTGAGCGCATTGTTGAAAGGAAAGGCATTAGATGTATTTTCACGATTACCAGTTCAGCAGTCGCTGGACTTTGATGAACTCAAGACGGCACTCCTAAAAAGGTTTGAAATGACGGATGAGGGGTTTCGGAAAAGTTTTAGGACTTCAAGACCGGAAGGAGGTGAAACATTTACACAGTTTGCCATCCGACTTCATAATTATCTGGAGAGATGGATAGAGTTAACAAAGACTGAAAAGTCATTCAACGGGCTCAAGGATTTGATTCTTCGGGACCAACTTCTCCATTGCTGTAATCAGGACCTGTCGTTATTCCTGAAGGAGAGAGTTCCGACATCAATTGACGAGATGGCTAGACTTGCCGATCAGTTTGTCGCAGCACGAGGAACTCGAGCCAACTTGGTGTCTTTCAAAGGTCATGGACAGAAAGGGGGAGGAAACAAGACATCATCTGTCTCAGCATCTGGAAACTCTTCTTCTGAAACTCCATCGGTGAAGAAACCATCTGGTAGTTACAGAGATAAAGAGTGTTTCTTCTGTAAGAAGATGGGTCATATAGAGAGAGATTGCCGTAAGAAGAAAGCTGGTGAGAATAGAGTTGCCTCTATATCCCGGGCGCAAGGAAGTCATTTTGACAGAAAGAGGATACCTCAGGGCACGGTGAAATCCAAAGACACCGAAGAGTTAGAACAGAACGGAAGCACCACGAAGACTTTGAGTGCCCCTTGTAATTTGAAGTTATCAGGTACAGATGCCATGCCGGTGGTATTTGGGCGTGTAGAAGGAAAGCTTGCCACTGTTCTGAGAGATTCTGGATGTGATGGAATAGGAGTCAAGAGGAGTCTCGTGGAACCTCAGCGGATCACTGGGAGGACAAAGTCTTATTACTTGGCAGATGGAACGCTCATCAAATGTCCCCTGGTAAATCTTGAAGTGGACACACCCTACTTCAAAGGACACACGGAAGCATTTGTTTTGGACTCACCCATTTATGACCTGATTGTTGGAAACGTAAAGGAAGCACGCCCTGTTGGTCAGCCGGATGAGAACTGGAAGATGGTAGGGGCCGTGCAAGCTGTTGAGACGAGGGCACAGGTGAAGAAGAAGCGGTGGGCGTATAGAGCTCTTCATGTACCAGAGAGTATTGAAGACATTGGTAGTGTTCAGGAACTTAAGGAGGAACAACAGAAAGATGTGACCTTGGAGAAATTCAGAAAACTGGCTTCGAAGGCAGAACCTTACATTCGAGATGATGGCGGAAGGTCAACTGTGTTCTACCATAAAGATCTGCTTTATCGGGAGTTTCAAAGCCCTAAGGTGGCGAATGGAAGGGTCTTCAGACAGCTAATACTGCCAGAGAAGTACCGTCACACCGTCATGAGACTTGCACATGAGTCGATTATGTCCGGGCATTTAGCAGCAAAGCGTACGACGAGCCGAGTACTCTCCGAGTTCTTCTGGCCGGGAATCCAGGGAGATTTGACTCGTTTCTGTCGCTCTTGTGACGTGTGTCAGCGCACTTTTCCAAAAGGGCGAGTACCAAAGGCACCATTGGGAAGCATGCCGTTAATAGACACCCCATTTAAAAGGATAGCAGTCGACCTTGTGGGACCTCTTGAGCCAGCCACTGATCGAGGAAACAAGTATATTTTGACTATTGTTGACTACGCCACCAGGTATCCGGAGGCGGTCGCATTAAAAGGCATAGAGACTGAGAGAGTTGCCGAGGCACTAGTGGAGGTATTTAGTCGTGTTGGAGTACCTACCGAAATGTTGACAGACCAAGGAGCTCAATTCACCTCCAATTTGATGAAGGAAGTCAGTCGGTTACTATCAATCCGTCAACTCACAACAACGCCGTACCATCCTCAGTGTAATGGCCTCGTAGAGAGGTTCAATGGAACCTTAAAACGGATGTTGAGGAGGATGAGCACAGAAAGACCTAAGGATTGGGATCGATATCTCAACGCTCTCCTTTTTGCATACAGAGAAGTACCGCAAGAAAGTCTAGGGTTTTCGCCATTCGAAATGTTGTATGGGAGAGCTGTGCGAGGCCCCATGATGATTCTTAAAGAGCTACTGACAAAGGAGATGCCAGACGACGACATTAAGACCACATATCAGTACGTCATTGATTTGAAGGAGAGGATGGAAGATACATGTCAGATCGCCTTGGAGCACCTGAAAGAAGCCAAGGTAATGCAGAGAAAACATTTCAATAGAAGAGCTAAGGCTAGAGAATTGAAACCCGGAGATAAAGTGCTGGTCCTTCTACCAACTAAGGCTAACAAGCTCCTCATGCAATGGAAAGGGCCGTTCGAAGTCTTGGAGAAAGTGGGACAGTTCGATTATCGAATCAACCAGCAGGGAAAAGAGAAGACTTTCCACATAAACCTATTGAAGAAGTACTTGGAGCCCCTCAGCATCATTACGGAGGAGATAGGCGGAGTTTTGTCCTGTGTGATGAATACGGTTGTGTCAGAGGAGGATGTTGATGATGAAATGGAGTTTCCGTGCGAACTCGAAACGGTTCCAATTGACAACAGAACGGAGAACATAGAACACGTTGAAATTTCGTCTGATTTGACTGAAGTACGTACGGCTGAAGTCAAGAAGCTGATGACTGATTTTCAGGACGTTCTTACGGATCTTCCGGGAAGGACAAACTTAGCGGAACATGTAATACATACATCCACCAAGGATCCTGTGCATGTCAAGCCATATCAGTTACCGTACAACACCAAGGAAGTCATCGGAGAAGAGGTGAAGAAGATGCTTGAAATGGGCGTCATTGAGCCGTCTACATCACCATACTCTGCACCTGTCGTGCTGATCAAGAAAAAGGATGGGACAAACCGTTTTTGTATTGATTTTCGAAGATTGAATCGAGTCACCATATTCGACGCAGAGCCTATGCCAAACACCGAAGACATCTTCACAAGAGTCGCTGGAGCTAAATTTTTCTCTAAGCTAGATCTTAGCAAAGGCTATTGGCAAGTTCCCCTATCTTTGGAAGCGAAACAGATGACGGCATTCTCGACTCCCCAGGGACTTTTCCAGTTCAAGGTAATGCCTTTCGGGTTGATGAACGCCCCGGCAACGTTCAGCCGTTTGATGAGAAAGTTGTTGCATGGAATGGAACATGTTGATAACTTCATCGATGATATCCTCATCTATACTAGTACGTGGGAGGAACATTTGGAGGTGTTGCGGGAGCTTTTCAGACGTCTACGCAGGGCAGGACTTACTGCAAGACCAAGTAAATGTTCTATTGGTTTTGGCAGTCTACCTTGCTTGGGTCACATTGTTGGAGACGGAAGACTGCGTCTTGAGGAGTCAAAGATTTCTGCCATAGATAACGCACCGAGGCCAACAACGAAAAAACAGGTTCGTTCGTTCTTGGGACTGGCAGGTTTTTACAGGCGCTTCATCCCTAACTTTGCTGCTATTGCCGTTCCATTGACGGACTTGACAAAGAAAGGCAATCCTACCAAAGTCTTATGGGATATGAGTCACGAGAAGGCATATACAACCCTCAAAAGGTTGCTTACAACGAAACCAGTTTTGAAGTTACCCGACCTCGAGCAAGAGTTTATTCTACGCACTGATGCGTCAGATACAGCTTTGGGAGCTGTTCTGCTTCAAGAGGAAAACGGTCAAACGATGCCAGTGGCTTATGCAAGCAGGAAGCTTTTACCCAGGGAGAAGAATTACGCAATTGTTGAGAAAGAATGCTTAGCAATAGTGTGGGCGGTACAGAAATTTGAGCCCTACATCTACGGAAAGGAATTCGTACTTGAGACAGATCATCAGCCTCTCACTTATTTGCACCGGTCCAAGACCGCAAATGCCAGACTGATGCGTTGGGCACTTCTTCTGCAGCCATACAGACTCAGAATACGAGCCATAAAGGGCCAAGACAACGTTGGAGCAGATTTCCTCAGCAGGATCTAGGAACATACATTGTTCGTGATTTGGGCAGAAAGTGGTAACCACTTCCTAAGAAAAAGGGGGATGATGTCACGCACACCTGTATGTTTACCTGTGCATTGTTATTGAGTTGGTCACGTGAGCGGGTATGCGAGTGTGAGCGGAACAGTGGACATTGACTGTCCAGGTGACCAGCACGCCTTTGTTCTGTTTTCGTCACCTGTTTGCCGATTTTATGGCGTGAGTGACTTTGTTTAGTCGTGGAAATGAAGCCCAGACATCTGACTGGGGTAAGTATTCTGTCTTTCTTTCGTAATATGCTGTTTTATGTGGTTGTTTATTGCCATATTTACGATGTCCTTCTTATAGGTCAAGCTATCTATTGTCGGTGCGTGTTCGTTCATGCGTAGCTTTCAGTGTTTACGATGCATGTTTATTTTCTAGGATTTAACGTTGAATTAGGCTGGATACATTTGAAAATTGTTATTGTACATCTAGAGTGGCTATTTTGTCAGTTATTTAGTCGTTGTAAAACCGTAAAGTACACGTAGAAATGTGGTTACGTTCGTGTTAAAAAAAGTATGGAAGCCGTGAGTGGAAGTCGTGTGCGCATGAACCGTTGTGAGAGCGTCACGGTATAAATTCTATAGAAGGCCGTTAGCGTCGTGTATGTTTCGCGTAACGATATGGTTGTTTTGTTGAATTTTGATATTGTGTATTTTATCACGCACCGTAGAATTGTAAAATGTAGTCGTGTATTCCCATTGTATTACACAAACAAATAATAGAGTATTGATTATAAATAATGTTAATTTACTGGTTAGTTGTAAGAAACTTTGTGAGTTATATGTAATTGTAGTCATGGGTGGAAGGATGAACGTTTAGTGGTCTTTTGTTTTTGTTTTAAGCTTCACATGATGGGTAAATCACCATAGAGCCTACAGAAGGTCAGCACCGCTGGAGCGCCAGGTCTTCGCCGTGCAGTAACGGGACCGACCAACGTTACATTTCAGTCACTCAGGGTCTAGGTCAACTGCAAAGAAGGATTGTCTCCAGGGACAGGCTGTCATGTAGCGACTCGGCTGTAATATGTAAGCTAGTCACCGCCCTATCAGTGAGGGAGTTTCAGGATACGGTTGCTTTGTCAGCAATTCGTCTTGGTGTTGGGAACTGAGCGAGTCGTTCCTTTACAACTCGGACTTTGTCAGTCCACGGAAGCTGTTTTGCGTGCACCCTCCGTGTGCACTATTCGACACATTGGAGATGTTGATTGTGAGACCACCTTGTACCTTGTCTGTGAAGAGACTGTAGCCATCTTTACTGTTAAAGTGTATGAATGGAGAGTGATTGTGAGTGTGACTGGGTGTCTGTAGTTTTCATGTTTTCTATGTTAATAAATTTGTGTATATGTTCATTTGTTGCATTCTTGTGTTGATTTCCTGATATACTGCACAGAGGCCCGTCCCACGTTACAGATGTAACGGTAATTACACTTGACCAGGTGACGGATACTGGTAATTACGATGGTGTGGGTGATATTATAACGGTTGTTACACGTGACTAGGTGACGGATACTGGTAATGACGGTGGTGTTGGTGATACTGTAACGGTAATTACATGTGACAAGGTGATGGATACTGGCAATTACGGTGGTGTGGGTGATACTGTAACAGTAATTACATGTGGTAATTACACTTGACCTGGTGACGGATACTGGTAATTACGGTGGTGTTGGTGATACCGTAACGGTAATTACATGAGTCCAGGTGACGGATACTGGTAATTACGATGGTGTTGGTGATACTGTAACGGTAATTACACGTGACTAGGTGACGGATACTGGTAATTACGTTGATGTAGGTGATGATGTAACGGTAATTACACTTGACCTGGTGACGGATACTGGTAATTACGATGGTGTGGGTGATACCGTAACGGTAATTACATGTGTCCAGGTGACGGATACTGGTAATTACGATGGTGTTGGTGATACTGTAACGGTAATTACACGTGACTAGGTGACGGATACTGGTAATTACGTTGATGTAGGTGATGATGTAACGGTAATTACACTTGACCTGGTGACGGATACTGGTAATTACGATGGTGTGGGTGATACCGTAACGGTAATTACATGTGTCCAGGTGACGGATACTGGTAATTACGATGGTGTTGGTGATACTGTAACGGTAATTACACGTGACTAGGTGACGGATACTGGTAATTACGTTGATGTAGGTGATGATGTAACGGTAATTACACTTGACCTGGTGACGGATACTGGTAATTACGATGGTGTGGGTGATACCGTAACGGTAATTACATGTGTCCAGGTGACGGATACTGGTAATTACGATGGTGTTGGTGATACTGTAACGGTAATTACACGTGACTAGGTGACGGATACTGGTAATTACGTTGATGTAGGTGATGATGTAACGGTAATTACACTTGACCTGGTGACGGATTCTGGTAATTACGATGGTGTGGGTGATACCGTAACGGTAATTACATGTGTCCAGGTGACGGATACTGGTAATTACGATGGTGTTGGTGATACTGTAACGGTAATTACACGTGACTAGGTGACGGATACTGGTAATTACGTTGATGTAGGTGATGATGTAACGGTAATTACACTTGACCTGGTGACGGATTCTGGTAATTACGATGGTGTGGGTAATACCGTAACGGTAAATTACATGTGACCACGTGAGGTATAGCGGTAACTAAATGGTGACAAGGTTACGCGTATTGGTAACTACAGGTAAGTAGGTGCTGAGTAGCGGTAATTACAGGAGACCAGGTGATGTGTAGTGGTAATTCAACGGTGACCAAATGATGTGTAGAGGCTTTTACGGTTGGTTACAAGGTGATGTGTAGAGGTTATAACGGTTCGCTACCTGGTGATGTGTAGAGGATATTACGGTTGGTTACCAGGTGATGTGTAGAGGTTATAACGGTTGGTTACCAGGTTATGTGTAGAGGTTATAACGATTGGTTACCAGGTGATGTGTAGAGGTTATTACGGTTGGTTACCAGGTGATGTGTAGAGGATATTACGGTTGGTTACCAGGTGATGTGTAGAGGTTATAACGGTTGGTTACCAGGTTATGTGTAGAGGTTATAACGATTGGTTACCAGGTGATGTGTAGAGGTTATTACGGTTGGTTACTAGGTGATGTGTAGAGGTTATAACGGTTGGCTACCTGGTGATGTAGAGGTTATTACGGTTGGTTACCAGGTGATGTGTAAAGGTTATTACGGTTGGTTACCTGGTGATGTGTAGTGGTTATGAGGTTATAACGGTTGGCTACCTGGTGATGTGTAGAGATTATTACGGTTGGTTACCAGGTGATGTGCAGAGGTTATAACGGTGGGTTACCAGGTGATGTGTAGAGGTTATAACGGTTGGTTACCAGGTGATGTGTAGAGGTTACAACGGTTGGTTACCTGGTGATGTGTAGAGGTTATTACGGGTGGTTACCTGGTGATATGTAGAGGTTATTATGGTTGGTTACCAGGTGATGTGTAGAGGTTATTACGGTTGGTTACCAGGTAATGAGGAGAGGTTATAATGGTTGGTTACCAGGTGATGTGTAGAGGGTATTACTGTTGATTACCAGGTGATGTGTAGAGGTTATTACGGTTAGTTACCAGGTAATGAGGAGAGGTTATAACGGTTGGATACCAGGTGATTTGTAGAGGTAATTACGGTTGGTTACCTGGTGATATGTAGAGGTTATTATGGTTGGTTACCAGGTGATGTGTAGAAGTTTTAACGGTTGGTTACCAGGTGATGTGTAGAGGATATTACGGTTGGTTACCATGTAATGAGGAGAGGTTATAATGGTTGGTTACCAGGTGATGTGTAGAGGTTATTACGGTTGGTTACCAGGTGATGTGTAGAGGTTATAACGGTTGGTTACCAGGTGATGTGTAGAGGTTACAACGGTTGGTTACCTGGTGATGTGTAGAGGTTATTACGGTTGGTTACCAGGTGATGTGTAGAGGTTATTACGGTTGGTTACCAAGGTTGGTTACCAGGTTATGTGTAGAGGTTATTACGGTTGGTTACCAAGGTTGGTTACCAGGTTATGTGTAGAGGTTATTACGGTTGGTGTCCAGTTTTAGCGGTAATGATTGTATGTGATTACTAATGCTGTACCAATGAAAAGTTTATTTTGATTTTTAGGTTTGAATGTGTCATCTCTATTTGACAATGCAATAGGGACAAATATTATACAGGAAGTTTATGTCAGCTTACTTGTACTAATTTGAGTCCATTGTTACATGTTATAAGGCTGAGTTATGTATGTTCTATGAGAGGTCAGTTTACAGATATTTAGATATGTATAAGGAATCTTACACATTTTGCTAACTTTCCTCAGTGATTTTTACGGTGGTACATTTAGGACAAACGTATTATCTATTATACTAATTATCCCAAGCGCTCGGCAAATCATCTCTGTTTACTTTATTATAACTCTTACTCCAGCCTTGTTACGACGGTTCGTAATGAATGTACGTATACGTTGGTACCACCGTATGAAAGTAACAGCATGAGTTATCTATCTTCGTACACTGAGTTATCACACGCAGTCATCTATCCCGCACCTTCCACACACTGAGTTATCACACGCAGTCATCTATCCCGCACCTTCCACACACTGAGTTATCACACGCAGTCATCTATCCCGCACCTTCCACACACTGAGTTATCACACGCAGTCATCTATCCCGCACCTTCCACACACTGAGTTATCACACGCAGTCATCTATCCCGCACCTTCCACACACACACACTGAGCACCTTCCACACTCTGACATCACACGCAGTCATCTATCCCGCACCTTCCACACACTGAGTTATCACACGCAGTCATCTATCCCGCACCTTCCACACTCTGAGTTATCACACGCAGTCATCTATCCCGCACCTTCCACACTCTGAGTTATCACACGCAGTCATCTATCCCGCACCTTCCACACTCTGAGTTATCACACGCAGTCATCTATCCCGCACCTTCCACACTCTGAGTTATCACACGCAGTCATCTATCCCGCACCTTCCACACTTTGAGTTAATGTAACCTATTTTGACATCACCACTCTTTCGTTTCTATATTTCTGTTTTCGTTCCTTCTGATATTCCAATTGGTCCTTAACATTCTCTTCATGTCACTTCATGCGTCTCAAGTTTACTTATTCTTGACCTTCTCAAACCTCTTCACGGTGCCCTCTGTCAATCCTTCACCTTGCATTCTGACATTCCTACATCTTAACCTCCTCACACCTCCTTCACCTTGCTCACTAATATTCCTGTGTCTTGACCTTCGTATACCTCCTTCACCCCGCACTCTGACATTACTACATCTTGACCTCCTCACACCTCCTTCACCTCGCCCTCTGACATTCCTACATCTTGACCTCCTCACACCCCCTTCACCCCGCACTCTGACATTCCTGTGTCTTGACCTTCTCACATGCCCTTCACCACGCCCTCTTAATTTCCTGTGACTTAACCTTCTCCCATCTCCTTCACCTCGCACTCTGACATTCCTACATCTTGACCTTCTCCCATCTCCTTCACCTCGCCCTCTGACATTCCTACATCTTGACCTTCTCCCATCTCCTTCGCCTTGCATTCTGACATTCCTACATCTTGACCTTCTCACATGCCCTTCACCACGCCCTCTTACTTTCCTGTGACTTAACCTTCTCCCATCTCCTTCACCTCGCACTCTGACATTCCTACATCTTGACCTTCTCCCATCTCCTTCACCTCGCCCTCTGACATTCCTACATCTTGACCTTCTCCCATCTCCTTCACCTTGCATTCTGACATTCCTACATCTTGACCTTCTCACATCTCCTTCACCTCGCACTCTGACATTTCTACATCTTGACCTCCTCACATCTCCTTCACCTCGCCCTCTGACATTCCTACATCTTGACCTTCTCCCATCTCTTCACCTCGCACTCTGACATTCCTTCATCTTGACCTCCTCACTGATATTTCAATATCTTGATCTCCTCATCTCTATTCTCATGTTTCTCTCAACACATCCACGCTCTCTGACTTTCCTTGTGCAACTTCCAGTTATAGTTCCTCTTCACCACAACAACTTACTTACTAACTTACTTACACACCTCGCTCACGTGCCACGCCCATTATATAATTTTCTAAAACCTAAGGACGTATGCCTCCCAATAGCCGATCTCTTTATTAAACTTTCTCATATTTCTTAACGTCCTCCCACCGCCATCCCGCGCCAATTTCGTGCGACTGGACGACTTCCGGTGGCCGCAACTTTAAATTTTAGGTTGAATTGTTCTTTTCCTGTTCGATTTACTGGACCCTAACTCCATTATAGTCGTACAATTCCCGAAAACATTTAATCGTCATTCCTCACAGTCACACACATCTGATGTCTCTCACTGTTCTCTTTATTAAGTCTAACGCCTTTCGTTGCTCCCCTCCTTCTTCGCCGAACGATATTCTTCCTCGTTTAGGCGCCCATCCTCCCCGTCCTCAAATTTGTCACACTTTTTATATCAAATACCTCACCACTTCGCGTAGACCCCGCCCATACAACGCCTACTATACGCCCTGTTGACGTAGGGACTGGGGTTTATAAAAATGTCGGTCAAAAGATATGCAGGTGTCAGTAAGCACTTCGCCAAATACTGTCACGACCAGATACGTACATAACGTTTTTCAACTTTTATATGCCCTTTTCAAATTTCCCCGAAGGAATCTCATTCCAAAAACCGCCCAATTGCTTAACTAGTTAAATATTACATGCCTTTTACCTTACCTGAACACACCTGGGGCTGACTCCGACAATGGCCTGCCATGGCATCTAACATGTTACTTTAATTAACTTTTACACAGCAAGCAAACTAAGTTTGACAGCTTGAGAGGTAGGTACATAAGCTGTGTGTGTTTTTGAAATAGACACCGGCTATTTTCCATCACCACGTTTTCATTTAGTTATATTTTTCTTCCTTTTCATTTTTGAGACTTGAGTTCAGGTGTGGTATTCGTGCTAGGGCAGGGTTGCGACGGCATCCTAAACTTGGATTAAAACATGTCAGGTGTGAAACCGACTATAATGACGAGTCGTGGAAATAAAACCAGGATATCGTGCTACGGTGATTTCTGAATAATTAGATAACTAAAGGATGAATCGAGATCGAGAAGAAAACTAAATAAAAAATTCCATAAGACCAGAATTGTTGTTCACAACACGTGACAAGGATGGTTCCCTACTGAGAATGAATTTTCACTTTATTAACTCGAATGAAGGGTGTAATGTTGTCTATCCCTCCTACTCAATGTATCACAAACAGCTAGGGGGTCATCTCAGGACACAGTCCAGGACTTTGCACAGAGTCCTATATATAGGAAACATATTTCCTCGTCCTTTTGAATGTGACTACATTTCTACCATTGCTGAAATGTGTCTCATGAAATATTTCCCCCTTTATATGTAAATATTTCAATAACCTTGCGGTGCTGTCATATTTTCCGTTTCTTCCGTTTTCAAGATAGATTCACGTACGTGTAATTTGTCAATGAAAATATAGCAAAGTATTGAAATCACTGGTACGATCACAAACAGATGTATGTAGTGATCAATTTGTCGTGACAACATACACGTGTCAATTATACGGTAAAACTTGAACGAAATGGGTCTTACAGTCACATATCAGAATAAATCTTGCTGTTTCAGTACAATGTTACGAAAATATAATCATATGTAGTATATTTTCTCAACGTTTTCAGTACTTTATCATAATAGTTTATCGTACTTCCTATTTCTTTGGAAAAAAAATTCCGTATTCACAACTTCATTTCAATGATATTTAAATGTAAATAACCTCTTGTATTTAAAATCCAGACTTCACTTTTTGTGCTATTACAGACTCCTCTAACATCCCAGAAATATGTAGGACATAGATGTTTGAAATAGCTACTGAAATACAAAACATATCAAATTTCTTAATGAAGTATACAAGAATTAAATAAACTTTTACGGGGGTGACGATATTTTTAATTAGAGGTTTGTGTGGAAACATAAACCAAGTGTATCCAAAATTCTTGGATGTAAAAAAATGACGATTACATTGTGTATGTCATATTTGAAAACGTTTTATAAAATGACATTATCCATTAATTTTCGCCATCTGTTCATGCACATTTCTGTGGATCTGACGCACGTGAGGTCCAGGGTTGACGAAATTAGTGCCCAGTTTTCACAATAGACCGAAACAGGGTTAACATAGGCTACCTGTAGCTGTAGTCATTACTCGACATCAAAGAAACACGAATTCCCCCGTCTAGTGGGTGGAGTTAAATCATATAAAATTCTTACTATTTGTCGGAGTTTAGGTCCATGTAAGCCCGAAATTACTGTCTTTGTTCGGGCCAGTATGGGACACGTGCGCGAGTCTACAAATAAAACAACCTGGGCGGTACGTTGTGACAAGAAAAAGGGCCAAATTCAAGTTATGTTAAGCTCAGGTATTTGTAACTTTATAGATAGCTAATTAGTTTTTACCCATATACACCTGTGTGACATAATTTACTTATTTGGTAATGCTTCTCATTTGTCCGTATAAAGTAGAGGTCAGCCATCTCACCTCGTATATAACATACACATTCCGGCTAGTATTACACGCTGAAATATATAATAGATATATAGATAATGGTTTAATAAACACTGTTTTATAAACACGATGACAATGCCAAAATGACGTGGTTTATATTTTAATACGATTGGCTGCGTCGACAAAATGAAAAAGTGTTGTAGAGTATAATACAAGTTCTTACAGTCAGTAAAAGGTTTGAGTGAGACGTTTCGATCACATGGAGAAAGAAAACGAGCTGTGTCATTTTTTGCGTTATCATTTCGACTTCTAAAGAATCGATTTTACGGCGATTACGTGCCACAAAATAAGATAAAACACCATTAATTGTTGTTATAAACACCTGTATCATCACCACAAAATACCATTCACAGTATTTATTTGTCGGGATGGAAGGGTAGCATGCTGGTATCACTCTTGCCTTTCATCAAGACGTTCGAGGTTCGACGTGAAAAGGTAAGGGGTCACCTGCCCAAGTCGGTTTCCTCCCACAGAAAGATATCTCGCGCGCTTCAATCACGGTCAATATAGATTGGATAACTGGTTTCGCAATTATTATATAACAAATAAACTTTGTATACACGCTTCAGGTGGCAGGTGATTGGTTGACAACAAAATGCGAAACTGTTAATTGAAATTTTGAATGACCCAAATTGTTTTTAGATAATTTTCATCATGTACAATGTAGCCTTTACCTTTCAATACTTTTTTCTAAACTTTCCCGTAAATGTAATTCTACATTCTACAAGAAGAATAGAAGAAGAAGAAGAAGAAGAAGAAGAAAGGAAGAGAGAAAGGAACAAAAAAAGAGAGAAACTATCTTTTCCGAAAAACAGAAAGAAATTGTATTATTCCTTATCCTCCGAATCACATGCTTTTGTAGATAAATACGTATGGTATAGGGTCTACCTATAACGAGGTATGGTACATGTGTAGTCTAGCGGTTATCTAAGGCTAACGAGGCACGGGTCCCGGACGTGCAAAGATGGAGTTAACAGGAGGAAGCAAGCAGCAGCTGTAGGAACTCGGGGCGCGAAATACACGTGTTATCATTGATTACACTTCATCCCTTTGTTCGTTATCAGAGCGAAACATTTAGTAAAATAGTTTAAAGGAACCTATCTCTTCTTGACCACATACCAAAACACCATTCATGGTGACATACTTGTCCGGTGCTTTTTGTACAACAAAGCCCTTTGTTTATCCATTTCTTTATGAGAGAGAAATAAAACCGATACCGTTCGACTTTTAATAGTGGTTGTTCAGGGAAGTCAGTCAAAGGAGTAGGGAGTGTTTCATAAAATTTCAAGTCTGACCTAAAGTAAGAGATGTATGATTTATTTATTTCATTTATTTATTTGTTTGTTCATTTATTGCTGTGTTTTATCATGTATTTAGTTTTATTTATAAATTCGATTTTCTGAAGTAAATATCTTCTGGCAAATATTTGAAAACAGGTTATCAAGTTGACTTGAAATCTACGATACCGACATTTTGTCTCCAAACACTTTGTTGGTACTGTCACATTATTATTGGGACCTCGTGACTCTATTGAAACAATGATAATCGACAGCAAATCAGATTTCATCTATCGGTGTTGCAACAGCTGTGTTAATAAGTCTATGTAATTGATGTTACCACACTGATACAAAGGTAGGGATGGAAGCTCGCAACATCATGTTTATATCATACTAATGATTACACTTGTTTATGATTAGATTAGTAAATACAGAACTTCAGGTCTGTCTACTCGTTTTTAGCCCCGACTTCCTGTACGTTATTGTCATATAAAGTGTTTAGACCAACCATAGATTTATGAAGAAAAATATACTGGTTCAGTGAGCACGTGTGAAAACTTCTCTCCCGTATAAATTAGTGCCTGGTTATTAACACTGTTTTTTTGTAATTAGTTACAGGTATGTTAACCTCCGCTAGATCAAACACGTCATGTAGATAGATATTATCGGTGGACATAGTTGTGGGTACATGTCGACAGGTAAAATACTAGGTATGGTGACTTTCCACATTGCAACTTTTCTAATTAGCAATAAACACGTGCATCCTGATTCATATAAACTTTAAAATATTTAAATTTTGTTAATATCTGAAAGTATTGTAATATTTACTGTGTAAAAGTAGGAATCAACACACCTAACATTCAGTTAATCAGGTATTGTGTTGTTTG